TACCTGGTACCTACCTACTGTAGTAGCCTACCTGGTACCTACCTACTGTCGTCATGCGATGTGAGCCTGAGGCCATTCATTCGAATGAGATGCCTTCCCGAAATGTCATCGCGTTTTGTTGAAAAAACAGCGTTGTGTGAATGCGAATGCCGCTGCATGCAAGTGCCTTCTGAACTCATTCGCTTGTTGCGCACAATGATGATTGCTCTTTGGCTGAGGTTGGACCTGGCAACCTGACACCTTACAGAGGAGCGCTTGCGTATGGAACAGTGCTTGGTTTCCGGTCCAGGTATTTGATATTGCGGGGTGATAGAGTGTTGAATTGATATTGCGGTAGAATTGGATCCTATTGCGGGGCTCATATGTTGCGGGTGGTCCTAGATATTGCGGGTGATCATACGCAGGTGGATATTACGGGTGTGAGATATTGCGGGCGGTCGTATATACTGCGGGTGCCGTACTACCGGCGCCGGGATGCCGGGATGCCGGGATGCCGGCGCCGGGATGCCGGCGCAAAGACCTCAATGCAAGCCATCGTTTGTAAGCTCGGCCGCTGGTAGGACCATTGGTCTAGATCTACCTGACAGAGTCGGAGATTGTCTTGCACCTGGAGGCGACTTTGGCGGGGAAGGGCAGTGACGGTGGTGGCGGTGGTTGTGGTGGTGGCGGTTGTGCGGTCACTTGGTGTGTCCGCTGCTGTAATCTTTTCAGCGGGGGATGGGGTGAAGACCAAGGGGAGATTGGTCTTCGAAAGGGATCGCAAAACAGTTCATACACTCAAGACATAACCTAGTCACTTCTAGATTCATACTCAACCAACACTCAAGACACAACCTAGTCACTTCTAGATTCATACCCAACCAACGCTCAAGACATAGTACAGTGACTTCTAGATTCATTCATACTCAACCATCGCTCAATACATAACATAGTGACTTTTAGATTCATTCTCAACCAACGCTCAAGACATAGTATAGTGACTTCTAGATTCATACTCAACCAACGCTCAAGACATAATATCATAGTGACTTCTAGATTCATACTCAACCAACGGATGACCAACCATGTTGATGCCATGGCGGCCAAACAATTGAATGTCGATCTTCCTCAATCTGGTCTGGCTAGACGCCGTGCATTGCAAAAGATCTACGAGGAAACCCGAAGCTCGTTCGTTGCCTATTGAGTATCTGTTTTTAAAACTTAACAACACACACACACACGTTTTGTCTTCAGTCTTGGCTGCATTTGTTAGGAAAGAACAAGCGGCGCCAAAAGAAGAAGCCTTCAAAGTCTTCAAAGTCTGGCGATTCGATTGTTGATGATGGTGAGAGAGCTCTGATAGATGAAAATGCACGTTTACGATTGAAGGTGGAGGAACTTGAACGCCACCTTCGGGCCGCTAAACGAGATTTAGCCAAGACCGAAAATCGTGTTTGGGAGCTTGAAACAAGCTTACGCACATTTAAGCTGCTGTCCATACGCAAGCCATGAAACCGGGGGATGTGTGTTGAAAAGGGCGTTGAGGTCTTCTTTGGAACGTTCAGTCGTGATGGCTTTTCATGTTTTCAACTTGAGTTTGAGATTGCTGCACCGGCCAGGCGGCTATGCTGACTGAAACTTTGTGATCTTTTCCGCGTTGAGAAAAAGAGTGCAGGGTGAAGTGGAACAAAGGCTGTACAACCTGAATCTAAAATGATGATACCTAAATGCAAGGAAATTGACTTCTTAGTGATAACTGGCCGGCGCTGGTCGTTGAGAAGCGTTCTGAAATTGGAACAGGGGCCGACCAACGCTTCAACACGTCTAGAAAGCAGAGCAGAACAACCCTGATTGAGGTGTGCTTGAGGAGTTTGATCGCTCGGCAGCAGATGATGGCTGTCAAAATTCAGGCCTTTTATCGCGGTTGGAAAGGCCGGCGACGCTTTCGCTCAAAGCTTGCAGCTCACCGGGCGCAGGAGAGCTTTGTGAACGAACGGCTTCAGGGGCTTAAGCGGACTTCCAAATGTGGCAGCCATTTAGGATCATTAGGTATTTCTTGATTTCGGTGTCAAATAGGTATCATCCTGGATGTTGTAGTTGACAAAGTATAGTTGGGAAAGGTCTGGGAAGATCTTGTTGACATGAGTAGACATGCAAACCCTCAGAACTACTTAATGCGAAGACCGGATTAATAAACCCCCCCACGTGGAAGGTCTAGAAGGTCTAGATGGTCTCAGGTACCATTCATGAGGTCCACCTCCGGGAGCAATCGTAGTCGTAGTCGTAGTAGTAGTAGTAGTAGTTGTTGAACAATACGAAAAATTGACCTGGTTGTGGGCTCGGGTTAACTGGGGGGGATTTCTGGTGCCCAACTAGACCATTGGGGGGAAATCAACCACCAATACTACTTTTAATTTGGGCAATTTTTCGGTGCTTTGTGGGCTCGGAGTAACTGGAGGGGATTATTAATCCTGACTTGACATTACTGTAGGCACAAATACACCCCTAGAAAAATGCTGAACTTGGCCGTAGCATGAGTTTTTTCTATAAGACAACAGACAACATAGTAAAAGGAATTAAGGGAAGTAAGAAAGGAAGGAAGGAAAAAAACAGGAAAGGTCTAGGTCTAAAACAAAAAAGACATGTATACTGTATACCGTATAACGAAGAATATTGGACCTTCCCAGTCTTAACTATGAGAGCGTCGCAGGAGAGGAAATGCCCTTTGGCCGCACCAGCAAGACTTTCTTCACCATGTTGCTTCATTGGGTCTTGGGAGTTCCACTTCACCGGAATACAGACACGATTTGGTGTTGGCAGGCATGGGGCCATCATTCATTTCCACTGATCGTCTTGGTAAATTCATCTCTTCATTTTGATCCATCGTGCATAAGGCGAACATGTGTTCCCTGCATGTCATGTACTCCACGGCATGGCTCTTCAGCAACACTGACTCTGAAATGTTGACGTTCATTGGCCATTGGGGTCTTGCCAAGCAGCATGTTTTTGGGGGCGAACATGCATGATGAACATTCTTTACTGATTCAATATGATTCAATATGATTCAATCATTTGAACCAGTTGTCCCATGTGTTCACTTTGTCCTCGATTTATAAAGCCTTGGGAGCTTGGGAGCTTTGTTTTGTGTTAGATAGACTTAGTGACTCTTTTGAGATGCCAAAATTTTGCCACCGGGAGCAAGAAGGAGGACGAGGAAGAAATCGGCCACCAGGGTTCAATGGGTAGTCAACTTGGTCCACCAACAATCTGTCCAGGTACTTCATACAAAGCACTACACAAAAGAGCGCAAAAGGTGCGCCCCGCCGGCGCATATCCAAACTTGGCCACCTCTAAGCGTGCTTTGGCCAGAAGCCCTGATGGGCGCAGGCTACCGACTTCCTCGCCAGCCTCGCCCACCTCCCCACGATTCTACGGGAAGCCACTGGCCTGAGATGGTCTATGTCCGATACATGGAGATGATGTGCAACACCCGATGGGAAAGTGTCAGAGTTTGCGTATTGATTCAGATGAAGCTTGGGCACAACCCATTTGAGATTCCCCAGGTCAAAACGGGCCAACCGCGTGCATCAAATTGGAGGTTCTGAACAGCCTGCAGTTTTTGCCCAACGCCGTGGTCAACAGAGCACATCCCTGCAGCAGCACAAAAGATCAGAGTGCTGCCCTCGATGGATTCGCAAGGTCTTGGGTCCATGGATTTCAGGGTTAAGAAAACCTTTAGATATTGTTGGCAATAACCTATTCCAGAAAAACAACACAAGCGATGAGTATCAAAGTGAGCATCAAAATGGTATAAGTATCCCCATTGAAATTTCCCCTATGAAAAGGGAGGGGTCAAGCCCCATATAAACCGTTTATAGAGGGTCATTTTGTAAGAAATCAAGGGGTCGTACCCCTATCATTTTGTAAGAAAATAATGGGAAATAGGGGTACCCATTTTGTAAGAACTTATAAGTATCCATTTTGTAAGTATTTGAGGGGTGGCTGTAGCTGTAAGATTAAATCCTGTGATTTTATAAGACATGTGTTTTAGGAGCAAACTCATTTTGTAAGCGTCTATGATGTCTGTCCTTTTGCCTCATGGTTGGATGCATAAACTATGTGGTGGATGCACCAATGCATTCTATAAGGAAAAGCAAGCACAGATGAAACATTGCATTTTGTAAGAAACCACCATTTTGTAAGAAATAAGCAATCCTGTGACCCGAGTTCAAAAACAATCCTGTGAGCCATGAGTTGCCCAATTTACCCAATGTCCTGTAAAAATCAGGACCAATACAGTTCTAGATGGGGAAACTGCTGGAAAACATTATCAGCGATTGGAGTGCAAGGACAGCTCGACAACATGGAATAGAAAAAGACAGTAATTTTGTAGGTTGAATTGGCAAACTGGGAGGCTAATCCTTACAAAAACCATTGGCGTGGCTTATGCTGCTAGGGAAAAAGGACTGCAGCTGTCTCCTTACAAAATGAATTGTGATTCCTTATAAAATGAGTCGCTTTTGGGGGCCTCCCAAACTGGTTCGAGTCTGATGTACCAACAGTAGAAAGCATTCAGCTCTTACAAAATGAAGGGCGCAGCAATCTCAGTGCTTGACCCCACATTTTCTATAGATTGATGGGGGGCAATGGCCAAAAATAATGCTTGTTGGCCCTTTCATTTTGTATGCCTGACAGTTGGATGCACCTCTGTCTTTTGTAAGAAGTCTTGCTGCACCCCACAGGTTTATACTACAGAAAGTGGGGTCTGACCCCTCCCCCTAATTTTAACGGGGATGTATAAGTTATAAAAGGATATAAACGGTGGTTGCACCAGTTGAAATAATCTCTGGACTATGTGGATAGACAAGGAAAAGAGTTTGCACGGCGGAAGTTCAGCAGAAGGTACATGCTTGACCTGCTAGCAGAGGGTTGCAAATCCGTTGTGAGCCTCCAATTCACGGCGTTCGTTCCTACTTCCGCATGGCAACATGCGAAGCTAAATTTAGGCACGAGACTGTCAGGCCATCACGCCACCAACCGTCTCAGCCCCAGAGAATGTTCACAAATCATGTCATGTGTCAATGTGGAGTGAACGAGTGTGAACATGTCAAGAGTGATCAGCCAAAGCTTTAGCATTGGCACTTTGCTGAACAAAAAGAACCCAGGATGCTGCAGTCCTTTCCTCGTTGCAGCAGCTCGCGGACACCTCAGATTGCACAGAGGTCATGGGGTCAAAAGTGACTTTGATATATACATATATATATATATCCCTTTCTGTCGGATGTTCGGTGTTGAGAACTACCTGACCTGATGCTGTAGTCTGCACACGAACACCAGAGGTTGAACTCAGCGCAGTGGAGCTGCGTGAGCTGCCCGGTGTTGACTTGGGTGCGTTGTCCAGGTGGCGGGATTTGGAGTCCGGTCACAGTGGGTATTGACGATGTGGTATGGGTAGAGTGACACGGATCCGATGGATTCATGTGACATGCATGACTTGATTCATTGATTTCTGAACCGCAAAAAACGGCTTGCAACTTGCCACATGCTGTCATTTGCGTTCGACAAGCAGAAGTGAAAGGACGAACGGGCAAATCGATACAGAAGGTGTGGCAGGGGACAGAGGCCGATCCTGACTGCAAAGCTGAGGAAAGTGACAGATGATGATGAGATTGGCGCTCGGGGCTGGGACAAGGCGGTGATTGCGTGTTGAAGCTCCGCAGTCCCGATTGATAGCGACTGATCATTAAGGAGTCTGACAGTTTGGCGGAAACTTTGGCATCCTTGAGCCAGTTCCTTTCCTTCGCTTTGCGGCACAGGCACACCACTCAATAGTAGACCCACCCAAGTCACCCAAGTGAAAAAACAATCGCTCGTGGTTTATCGAATTGATCTGGGTATGGCTTGGGCGGTTCTCCACCCAGTGAAAGTCATCCCTTCAATTTCATGTTGGTCCAAAACCTTTTCACCAATAAAGGAGCACACATCACATATACCAAACAAGGGGACGCCAACGTTCCTGCAGCGCAGGAAGATCAACAGAGGCTCCTCAAAGCCAAGCTGCGCCCTAGCAAGAAAGCCTCCGCTGTTTCGGTTCAGGGGCTCAAGTGGAAGATTGACAAATCGTCGCAGGTATCTTTTGTCCGGCGAAAGGTGCGAGAGTTACAATCTCGACAGAGCATTCAGCTGTTTGTTGTCCTTTGCGGATCGACAGCGGTTGGGAACACGATTCTGCTTGACTCTGAGGTCCTAGTCCTAGTCTTGCAAGAGAACAGCCGTAGTACCATGTTTGGTCTGTAAAGTTGTAAAGTTGTTTAAACCTTGTCAACAGAAGGGGCTGACCCAACCAGTAGGCACGGCTCAGAAGCTATGGCTAGGACCGATGAATCACAGTGAAAATGGACGCTTTGATGCTCTTTGCTGCCTTGTTTGGACTCCAAGGCGCTTAACTCCCCTTGGGAATCACCTGGCGCAACTCCCTGTGGACGCTGGCTGTGCTAAGCTCCTGGTGCCTGAGCCTTTCTTCCAGGGGATGGCAGTAAGGCCATGGTGATCTCCACGTAGTTATACCCTGCCACACCTCCTTGGTTCAAGGGGCTATAGGCAACGAAGCCATGTGTTTGTGTAGACTGAGCACCCTCATTGTTTGATCTTGAGTGTAAGACTCGTAGAAGCAGCAGCTGCAGTTGGAGAATTCTCAAAAGCTGACAGCAGTCAAGGGCATTGTTGTGAGCCTGCTGCTCATTGATGTACACATTCACTACATTCAGTCCGGCTGACAAATCACATGCCTTGGATGTGGGCCTAGGCTGTTTTTTGATGTAAGCCTTTAGGACGTAAGATGGCCCAGTCGCCGATCGGATAGTTTTTTCATTGCTGAGAGCCTGGTGCCGTTTGTTCTTTCTCAACCGATGTCTAAAGGCGTCCTTGTTCGTAGTAGTAAGGCCAGGAGCCCCTAGTAGCGTCCTATCGCTCCTATTGCTCAGGTGTTGGGCTGTATCTTTGGCATCCCGAGAGACGTGTGCACGGTCGCAGCTGCACTTTCTGTCAAGTCCCCGTTTGCAGTCGACATCTCAGGAACCGCGGTGCGGTGCAGCATGCACATGTTCTGTGGCAATCTACTTGCGGGCCAAAGCTGGTCAACTGGGAAGCACATGAAGCAAATAATTTAAGCTGTTGTGTTCCATGAGTATTGGACTTGCAAGGGTTGTGCTCCATACATGCCTAGCATGATCAGTCCCTGAGAACGAAACTGATTTGAGGTCAATGCCGACGGTAAAGGTAGTGGAAAGGGGGCCAGTGAACAGCGCAAGGCGGGAAACGGTCGATGTGCTCGTCTCAAAACGATCGATCCGATTGCATCCGATTACGATCCGGTGTTCAAGATTTAGCTAGAAGCGGCTTCTATGCTTGGACCACCTTCACGAAAGAAGGTTTGATCCTCATTATTCCAAATTTAGAAGGCAAATATCAGAGTAGAATATAGTAGAATGTTCTTTTGGAATGCATATATTTGTTGTTGCTGGCATGCTTGTCAGTGAACACGACTGACAAACAAGGAGGGTTCTTTAATGGACTCCGGATCTATACATGCATGTGTTCATTTAAATGACACCAGTTGCTGTCCAAAGTGACCGCCCGACAGTTGGATTTCGCGGGCGACCTGGAAAGTGATCAGCTACTTCTTGTGACACTTTGCTGAAGACCTTTGCCAGGGCAAGCTGAGCGCACGCGTGAATTTTGATCTAGACTCTAGACTGACTCCAAACCCAATACCTTCCAACAGGAGTATATGATGCAAGTGTCCATCATTCATTCCATTTGCTGTAGAGCCTAGTTTTAGGGCGCCGAAGATAAACCGTCGAAACAATCGATTGCGAGTTGAACACCCTTTGGGAAACCATGAAGTCTTGGATCCAACAAAGACAGTTGTGACAATTCTTTCCTCCAAGATCCATGCGGGTAGAGACATGAATCATCGCTCGGTTCAGGAAGCTCTTCGAGCATTGGGAAGAACTTGGAAGACACACCCAATCAGCACGGATGTGGTGCCGAGAGAACAGCCTGAAGCTTATATACTGTAGCTGCTGTAGCTGCCGTTTGAACAGGCTGATGTGGAAGACCGGCTTCCGGGGAGTGGGGGCCTGCTGCTTTGGCCGGTTTGGAGGGTTTCTTGTGTTGTGTTGGTGCAATGTTTTGGATGTATTGGCGCCTCACCCGGTCATGTGGTCATCCACGCCTGGGCAGGTGGTCAACCCGGATGCACCTGAAATCCGGTCCATGGAACACATAGATAGGTCAAGACAGCTGCTTGGCTCGGAGCTGAGTTGCAGGCACCATGCAGACCAGAGCAACCGACAGAGGTCCCCAACGAAAGCTTCGCCTTTGTTTGTGTTCCAGCATTGATTTAAGGGAATTTCTGCAGGAAGCCCATAGCTTTAGGGGTGAAAAACATGGTTGTCCTGAGTTGTCCTGTAGATTTTCCCTTTATAACTTTTTAAATATAACTTAACCCATATTTACCATTCCATTGATTGCGGTAATGTTTTGGCAGAATTGGACTGATTGAACAGACATGGCTAATTCTAGCTCCAAGGCCTTGACATTCAAGCTTTCGAAAGTGCTTCCCGGCAGCGAGAAACGACACGGTCACTGGTGGCAAACATGAGGAGAACTGAAGATGTCACAGCTGTGCCAGAATGGCAACGGAAAACGTGATTTCATGCCAGAATGAACAGTGACTATGGTTCAAGTGATTCTGTGTTTATGTTTTGGGCAATGGTATTTAAAACGATATGCTGCTTTATAGATTTAAAGGATACACTAAAATGAGTTGGCCTCTACATGCTCCCTTTGAAAGCGACTTAGCCTGGAGTCGTTGGTCAAGTTCTGCCGAGTCAGCGACCGCGGTGGTCAGGGTCATGCAGCCTAGACAGCAGATCAAAAGGCTACTCTAATTTCACCCAAGACTGACATTCAGGTGTCCTGGAGGAGCTGTCAATAGCTGCCATATTCTGAGCCATTCACTGCGCCAGATTTGGAGGGAACCAGCATGGTTGCGTAACAAATAACATGCAATTGAAGTTGCCATTGTGGGCCGGCTGCACCAGATTGTTCCAGCCAGGACAAGATAGCTGGCTCCCCAAAGAAGGCTAACACTGTTATACCAGTCATTCATATCAAGTGACAGTCTTCAGAGCGGCCCAGGTGTCTGATATGCGCCGTCACCTCCTTGGAATTTTAGTTGAACAAGGTTTGCCCACCGAGGGGGGAACCTTCGTTGTGAGGCTAGGCTTTTGCTGAGGCCGACAAGATTTAAAGCGGAAGTGTGATTCAGCCACAAACGCAAAGGATTATACTAGATAATTAATCTTAGTCACGTTCTAGTTGAAGTGAAAGCTGGCAGAATGCCAGCACGGTCCACAAAAGACTTGAAGCCGACCTGACTCCTTTTTGCAGGATTTGCCATGCAGGAGCAGACCGAGGAAGAGAGGCCCGGTGTGAGAGAACACTCCACCTGACATGACTCTTGTATATCCGTTGTTGATGTTGACCAGTACATCTGTGAGATTGAGATTCAGTGTAGAGAGTCTGCAGGGTTCTTAGACAAAAACTATATAGATCTACCACTTATAAAACTACATAGATCTCTTGCTTTGTGAGGCCTGGTTCCAAGCTATCAACGATGCCAGCCTGCCTTTCCAGCTTGATCCATGCGAAGGAGGAATCTAAAGGGTGGGTTTGGCTTGCCATCAGCTACACACATCGGTAGCCTTATCCGATCCCGATGCCAACATACCAACAGGAGTTTGGCCGTCGGCGTTTCCAGCTCTTACGCTCGCTGCTGTGTGCAGCACTATGGCCAAATGTAACATTACTGTCGCCTGGGTCGCAGTTTCCCAGGGCCATGTCAAATGAGGCCTTCAAAATCAACTGTGCAATATGCGAATTGAGTGATTGAAAATCGGTATGTGGCTTCTCAAATGAATTGGCTAGTAATTGTACTTGAGTCACACGACCTTGCGTTTCAGAGTCTGCGTTGCTGGGTCAACCTCGTCACTTACGATATTTCAAAGGTCAAATTGCTTTCGTGCGTGTTCCCCCACAAAGACGACATCCATGGCTCCGCGTTCCATTCGGCTGAGGAAGGGCAATGGAACACTTTTTGTACCTTGCTTTCATTAAGACAATGTGAGTGTCGTGGAGTCATGCACGCCTGCAATCTGTTTGCTCGAAGGTCTAAGTCATGTTCGGTCCGTCCTGTCTATACCCGGGAATATACATAGAGTGGTAGAAATACTATACAATGCAATCCTCTGGCAGAGCCGGAGTGCAGAAGCTTCCCCACATGTTTCCACTGCACAGGCTAACGAACGCAAGCCCCAACTTTTCCTTGCGCAGCCCTCACAGTGTGTAAAGGATTCTCCACTTCCTGCCCCCACTGTCACAGACTAGCAAACTAAGAACTCAGTCTGTCCTTGTGCATACAGGGTTGTCCTTCCCCAAGTGAACCCACAAACTGCAAATACATCACCCTTGGCGCAGCCCTGACAATAGGGCAGCGATCCGCAGCTCTGACAGGTTGCGCACATGTTTGTACATGATATTGATGTTCTGGGAAACTAGGAGTGATTTTTTGCGAAAGATCCACGAAAGTTTCGCGAGTGTGCCATTAAGCCACTTCCAAAGTTGAGCCTCCACCACCCCCGGCTGCATTACCCTGTATCGTTAGCTAGCATGAGGGTTGGATTCAGTTGTGCGTCACTCTATTCTAAGCCTCCTCCCGGATATTCCCCAAGGTGTGTCGAACACATGCTGCAAGCGACCCTAGGGTAGCTCTAGCAACTCTCAACCCTTCTGTGTAGGTCATGTTGCAAGAGATACTTTACTTGCTTATACCCAGAGAGTCAAAAGACATTGCTTTTGATGGTCGCTTCCTTAAAGTCTATTTATGTTTGGTCGTTTGTAAACCACGCTTGATCACACTCAACTACGACGCCCGCCCACGCTCTCTTTTGTGGTCAGGTCATTTTGACCATGTTCAGCGACACATCACCAGCCCTTTCTCTTCATTGAAGTGTTTTTTCAACCTTGCAGCAGGCTAGTCGCGATTTGAGCATCATTTCCCATGGCTGGCTGTTGGCTAGACTGGCCACAAAACCATGAACTTCTTGAGTTAGAACTGATTGGGAACCTTGCGTGCTGGTGTTTGAGGTCGCTGTTGATCATGAATAGGCCATGTGGCCCTACCGTAGCCTGCATGTGCTGCACTAGGGAGGCGAAGAAGGCTCAAAACCACGTGCCAACTGACCTGATGACCTCTCGGGTGTGACAACATTGAATCCTGGGGTTTACTTGGTTTAAATATATTCAATTTCAATCATATTGAATCATATTGTTAATTTCCCATTGGTTTAAGACCTTGCTTCGCGATGAGGCCGTGAAAGATATATATATATATACACACACTTTTTTCCGCAACAATGTGTCATTCCACCGATTCTACCAGTGTCCGTCAGGTTGTGAGATTCAGGCTAAACTTGATGTAGCATCTCCTCAACTCCTCAAGACAACACCAAGTCTGTGATGCAAGAGTTCAGCTTGGAGAAGATGCCGATTCCAATAATCAGCCAAGGCTCGAAACTCAGCCACCTTGGGATTTCATAGCTCAAGCATTTTAGCCCTGCAAATGGATCAAGACAACGACTCTGGCGAGCCTTGGAACACATCGGTTTGACGCGGGCTTGATGCCGCAATCGTGAGATTGGGTTTTCAGACGATTTCCTTGTTTTTGGTGGCCAAATATCAGAGGTGTGGTTTGGTAAATGATGTAAATGCGCTATGTTTTCTTAAGTTGTCGGAGCTGCTTGCCTTACAGGGCACCACGCACCACACCACACCCAGTGAACCTGCCTAGTGTGGCCATTGTTGGGGACGCGCGCTTGTGACTTTCTTCAATAACGGTTCACCTGAGAAGTCAGATTGCTGGGAGTGTTACTACTAGTAAGGCACTTGTTCCTAGTAGCGATGCACTTGTTTCTAATAGTAACAAGTAAGGCACTTGTTAGTAGCCTATTTGAGCTTCTTTGAGGACTGGACTTGCCCGCACTGCGGGTTCTACAACTTCGCCAGCCGCCAGGACGAAGTTGTCGTGGGAAGCACTTGCTGGACAGCGAGACATGAGTGATATGTTTCTAAGGTTAAGGTTAAGGAGGTGACAGCAGAAGGGTAAGTCCAGTGCTGGAGGGAAGTCTTCGAGGTCACCGATTGGATCCCATTCTTACATGACATCGGTTGTTCTACTATCAGCAAGTGCTTGAGTAACTCCACTCTGAAAAACCATTTTGGTATCACCTCTAGCTCAAATATATGACAACCTTGCTTTTTCAAACGTGATCACACCATTGAGGAGGAGGGTTTGTATCCGATGATGGTTTATTTGAAGGTCTTGTTACTTTTGCTGAAAGGTTTTGATCATACAGATCTACGTAGCCTTTGATTTCGGTTCTGTTGCTTTGTTGTTTTGGATATCCTCCAGGCCCGACTCGTCCAACCGCAAAGTACGCAAGGAGTGCAAGAGTTGTTGGGCTGCACGAGCATCCTCTCCACCTAAGAGGAAGGCCAGAAGGATTCCAAAGCGATGACAAAAATACATCAGCCGAGCCAAAAACCGAGGACATGTGCTTGTTTTTTGGCATGTTCATCAATTTTGTTGCGTTCTAAAAATCCTGTCATACTCACAGCTGTGAGGCGAGACCACTTCGACACCGTGCTTTTATGCCACTCGGTTGCCAAGGTGTTCTTAACTTTTGCATTGGAAGTTGGAAGTAATGTTAAGGACTTGAAAGATGAACATGCCCGAGAAAGTCCAGGTCAAGTGTCGAGCAATAAGATGTTGAGGCTCAAAGATCTTCAAAGCAACCATGCAAGCTGAGGTTTGGTGAGAAAGTCCGTTCTTTGGCAAGTGGTGTCCTGGTGGATGGTGGGCTGGAGCAGATGGCTAGCCGTAGTTTTGCTGGTTGATCATGCGTGGACAGTTCAGTTGATCGGACATATTATCATTCATTGAGAAGTCGACTAAGGAAGTGCATCCAGTGGCGAGACTTTGGTGATACTAGTATGTTTCAAACTTTGGGCCCTTAACTGGTGACTTGCACGTGGGATATAATATGGTTGGTGGATGTTGGTTGTTTTCTTAGGGAAGATCGTGTAGGACGAGCAAGAAGCATGTGAAAAATGAGTTCGTGCTCCAGATCTTGCCTGACCGGATAACACTAGCTAAGTAAAGGACGGTGGCAGACATGACAAGATACACATTCTGCACAGTGGCCACAATTTGACTCTGGTAAGAGTGTCGCACACACACACACTTAAGATGAGTGCTCCGCGGAGCTGCGCTTCAGAGATGCGCGGGGAACATTAGCTCTTTACATTACTGCATTGGCCGACGAGCACTTAGCACTTGACTTGAAGTAACGGCAAGAATGCAAAATCAGGCAAACAGAATGTTTTAACAAGGGTGAAAAGGGAAGAATTGATTAAACAATTCGCAGGTACAAGAGCCGGCGTCCCAGCTCTCTTCCAACTGATTTCTGTAGCTTCGCTGGCACGGATGGGAAATCAGTCTCCGTGCCCCCTGCGGACGAACTGTACAGGTTGAGTGAAAGAGTGGTAGGTAGTGGGTAAGTAGCGCCCCTGGAGACGGGGTTGGACACACACACACACAACTTGCCGATGTCGGCGCAGCTAGAGGTAGTGCTAGAGGTATGAAGTGCAAAAGTCAGCTGCCAGTAAGCAGCAGCATTGGATGTTTTCTTTTTTCGCATCGAACCAGGCCCAACGTAATCTATCAAGTTTGCCGTCCTCAGGTTCGGTAATGTTTGGTTCACATTCAAATTTTGATTGATCATGACAGGTCTGACATCTTGAGTCCCACAGAAATTGTTGGGTTATTTTTCATGAGTTCATGTCCAAATGAAACCTGTGAACCTAGACTTATGAACACAACATTGTGAGGCCCCAGCCAGAAGGCGCAGACGCTTTGCCGCGACTGCTGCGGAGTTTCACTGAAAGCCTTGTTCCTGTTTCTTGGCAAAAAAGTCACTCTTGTGCAGAGTTTTCATGGAAAGAGGAGAATCAAGTCAGGGAGGGGGTCTTTGTGCAGACGTTTTCCGTTGTGAAGTGCTGAGGTTGGGACATCGAGTGGAGGTGGACTTCTTGAAAGGCCTGGACCGGGGCACAATCAAGCCAGACTGGGCCGTACACTGACTCCTCCTTTTTCCTTCATGTGATGTCGTTTGATCTTCCGTTTTAAACACATCACTCACCTGCCGTCATAGATTTGTCCAACTGAAACCTTCAGACTGCAAGAATCGGTTGACCCCAAAATATGTCGAAAGAGGTGCTTTGTGCACCACAAACCACGCTTTGGCTCAAGTGGACCATGGACTTGTTCAGTCCATGTGTGTGCCGTGCGCGGCGCGAGGCCGCATGTCGATGGATGGTTGGATCCACTGCCAGGCCGAATGGACGGTCGACTTTCGACCCACTGTCGCCTGCACGGGGATTTGCTCTACGCTTTTCCAGGTTTCCTTTATAGTGTGGAACAGATCGCAACACGATTCCGCAATGGTGTTTGGTCAGAAAGAAAAGTGCAGCCTCGGCACCTCTAAATAAAAGAGCAGTGACGCATCGCCCCTTATATACAATGACAAAGGTGAATGGAGGAAAAGGAAGTACAGTACTTACTAACTTGGCAGATCATGCCTACATCATTGCTGAGTGGGTGTTGCCGTCTGGGAAATCAATGATCAGCATGTTCTTGACCATCGCTTCAGAACATGGCGATGAATCCTGCGGTCATTTATTCAATGCAGTTCCTTCCTTTGCCTTCACGGTTGGATTCCGTATGTCCACTTCACATGAAGGTAACACGGCACAAACGGCTTTTGAGCGTGTCATTGAATGGAACAGAAGCGGAACTCATTCAATATTTGAATAACTTCAGATCCTTGACCTGCCTTATCAATTCTTGGATCCTGCGCATTGTGGGTCGTTTCGTTTGTGGCCGGCGATCCAATCTCTTTGCAACACAGAAATCAACGGAATATTGTTATTTGATGTCATTCCTACAAGAGGTCGAACGAGGGGTGAGGGGTGTTGCACCATTTGCATTCATTGAGGAACCTCGTCAGTCCCCTGCCAGTCCGGTCGTCCAGGCCGCACCTCGGGATGCCTCCATGCTCCTGGGGATGAGACGGCGTTTGCAGGACGGAAAATCAGATGTCGATGGATTGGTCGGTGAACAGAGGGGTGACGGGTGTACCATGGTGTATTTGTATAATGTTTGAGCCATACCACGGATTGTTAGTACTTGTGGCAGTTGATGCATAAGCAGAGTTATATACTGTTGTGTTGGCTTACAGTAGCGTGGCAACAACGAACCGAAACAACAAACCGACAACGGCCTGACCCATTGCACCAATCCAGCTGACCCATTGTACCGTCAGTCTTGCCAGCTCGACCTAGTTCTAAAACCCATTATCTGCCAGGTGTCCAAATCGCTGGTCAGGTCAATGTGGCTTCTTACCACCAAGCGGGAACATGCACATCCCTAGGTTGCCAGCTTTGTCGGAATCCCATGGCAGTGGTGATGCTTGTGGTGTGGAACCCACACGGCCCCAGGACGTTCTCACACGTCGGCTGGCTCGAAAGACTGGCATCTCTCCAGAGGATGCTGAGGCGTTCTCACCCGTTGTGCGACTGCATTTGTCCGATCATGCGTAGGAATCTACAGGGTTCAGCCCAAGTGGTTGACGGCGCATCCAAAACGTCCAGAGCAAGAATTCGCCTGATTTTTTCTGACTTGATGTGACTTCCAATCCCTGATTGAAAATTGTTAGCCAACATGCATTCAAGGCAACATGAACACAAATTATATCAAATTAGTATGAATCACACTACGATACTATAGTAGATTGCATGTATGTTTCCTGATTTTGGCGACAAGAGGCAACCAACATTCTTGACATTATCTGATGTTATAGGAAAATATGAGGAGATTCTATATTAATCTGTATTATTTCAATGCCAGGTCGTAAATGTCATGACCCAAATATTGGTGTTAGATATTGAAATTTAAATCGATCAACAAATTGAATATAAAATATATTGTCCCTATAATTCTAATAAATATATACAAATAAATATATAAATAAAAATAGAATTATAGATATATAATCTTAATTAATTGAAAAAAATATATATATTATTATAAATAAATTAATTGAAATAGATTATAATTTATATTTAAATTGTTATTTAGTTAAATATTATCTTATTTTTAATATTTATTTATTATAATATAAAATATTGGTTATGATGATATTTTGTATTATTATATATTGGATTTTTTATATAAATATTATAGCAAATATATAAGGTGTTTTTTAATAGAAAATGAACATGAAATAATGAATAATATATTTTTATTATATGTTTAAATTAATGTGAAATTAAATTAATATTTTGTATTTTTTTATAATAATATATTATTGTTTAGATATTTAAAATATATAATATGATTATAAAAAAATATTAAAAAGATATTTTATAAATATAAAATATATTGAATTTCTTTGTAAGAACATAAATATAGATATTATTTAGAATAGAAAATTATATTTAAAATAATAATGGATTATATTAATTTGAAAGGAAAATATTTATGAATAATAAATTATAGTATTCTTTTTTAATTTCCGGACAAATATATGTGAGCCACGGTCAAAATACGCGAAGACCACTTTAGTAAAGAGAGGTAGGTTTGTATACAAAACTTTGTAAAACGATAAGGTCCATCTCAAAATCGATAACCCCAGCGCTGTATATGATCATAAGTATGCGATGAATTCAAAACGCTGTAAAACGATAAGGTTCACCTCAAAACCGATGACGTCTATTTTTTAGCTGAAGAAGAATAAGGAATTTTGACCGTCCCTTATGTATTTGTTTATATTTTCTATTTGTATAATTGTAATTTTTTATATTTATTATTTTTATTTATGCGTAGAGGGAAATGAATCAAATTAAGCATATTTAAATAACAATATATTATATCTTTTTTGAAAGGATAATATAAATGAATAATAAGGATACATAATTATCTTTAATATCTTTTAATTAAGATAAATTGATATATATATGTTTGTATTTTCTTTTTGAATAATTTATAATTCTTTTTAATTATTTAAATATTATATGTCTATTTATTTATTCGTAAAGGAAAATGAAAAAGATGTAATTATACTTAAAAGGAAGATAGAAAGAAATCATATATTTTAATATAAAAGGAATTGATTTTCTTTAAATGAAATTCAAAAAAACATAAAAAAATATAAAATATTAATGTACCGCATTTAGGAATAAAAAATAATATATTATAATCATATTGAAATTAAAATATAAATGAATAAAAAATTATATATAATTCCTTTTAATTTCCTTTAAATAGGATAAATTGATATATTTCTTTTAATTTCCTTTTTACATATTATTTCTATTCATTTATGTACAAAGGAAAATGAATAGAATTAATCATATTTAAATAGTTATTTGTCATTGGTTATAATAATTTTATAAGGAGAATATAAATGAATAATAAAGGATAAATATAAAACAAGGTGAGGAGGGGAGGGGGGGGGTGTTCAGAATTCTATGGTGGGGGGAGGGGGGGGGGGGGGGTGCCCCCAACTCTTGAGGGGAGGGGGGCCCCCTCCCCCCCTTCAAGAGTGTAGACCCCCCCCCCCCCCTCCCCTCCCCTCAAGAGTTGTGAACAATCCCCCCCTTCCCCTACCACCACCACAGAGTGCTTGCTTGTGCTCCGCTTCCATAAAGGAATGGCTGACTGTTGAAAGAGAACATGAAAGGAAATCATCACCATTAAAAATAGAAATGAAACGAAAAAAATATGTTCAAATGACGAAAGGAATTGACCATTTTGTGTAAACAATGCTTGTCAGATATGAAATTTGCAACCTGGGTATCAAATTGAAATGCATAACATATATGAAACGTGCAAATCGTGGTAGGGCAAAACGCCCAACAAACCAACATATTAAATATTTATAATATAAATATGATATTGCTAATTAATCACCTTACTAATATCTTTTATTAAATGGGGAGGGTCTACCCTCCCTCCATATTTAGAATTATGACCCCTACCCCTTGGGGGGCTTAATTCCTTATTTTATAGAGGAAATTGCTTCTGCATGATGGTGCCGTTGCTTTCCATTATTTTTCTGAAACACCTGCAAGATGGTAATGTTTGTTCATGAACAAAAAACAAGTGATGGAAATACTATGAAAGAATAGGAGATATAGGAAAGGTAAGCAGGTCTGATATTGAAGCACAAGGAAATAGAAAATATAGGATTTTTTGAATTCCGCGCACCACCTTTGTTGTGCGGCCAGTTGTTTTTACTTTTGTTTTTTTTGTTATCTTTTTTTTGATGATATTGTAGATCTCGTGTCGTGGGTTGTGTCTTTGGAATTTTTTTGGGACGCAGGGGTTTCTTAACGAAATCCTGCTAGACTTGAGGCCAGGGGGAGGAGGTCGAAAGCTAGCGGAAGCGCACCGGACTTTTTCGGCTGAGAATTGTAAAGAGGAAAAACATTAAAGCAAGACAAATAAGAGTGCTTATGAAAGGCTGAGGAGAAATAAGAGTGCTCTATTGGGTAAATTTACCCCTCAGATTTTGTAGAAGCTATGGCAAGCATTTCTTGCATCACTGATGTATGGGTGCAAATAGAGCTGGAGGCCCCCTCTGGACTGCCCCAAAGAAGCTTGACTTACGTTTATATAACTGATACTTTGTAACCGGCAAAGGCCTCCAAAAGTGGGAGGTAAATTGACCCCTCAGATTTTGTAGAAGCTATGGCAAGCATTTCTTGCATTATCTGATGTGTGGGTGCAAATAGAACTTGAAGCCTCCCCTGGACTGCCCCAAAGAACCGGCAAAGGCATCCAAAAGCGGGGGGTAAATTTAGAGGGCGGGTGTGCTTGGGAGAGCACACACTAGCTCAAAACCCTTAGAAAACACTGTAAATACCGTGCAAAATTTCAAAAATTGCTCTGAGAACTAGGCGAAACGCAATTTTTTTGATCTGTCTGTGCCCAGTCTCCATGTCCAATGTCAATGACAACAAATAACAGCTCTTCGTCTGCCCACTATCAATGTGCAACACCAATAATAAATATTATCAGGTAAATCTCTCTCTGCCCACAATAAATGTAGTGAGCGAATGAAGATATAATACTATACATCTCTAGACTCAATAGCTTTCCTCTGGATCTCTGGGAAAGTAGATTTCCTAGATTTGGGTATTTTCATTGAAGGAAAGCAATTGAAAGAAACACTTACATACATACTTATAGCTTTTTTTAAATACCATGACTATTTCCAGAGATCCAGAGGAAAGCTTATGAAATGAAAGCTTTATATTTTTTCACAGAAGTGATCAGATTTAGAAGGAACCTTTTGAATTAGAAATTTGTACATAAAGCAATTTTAATATAGCAATGAACATTCCAAGGGATTATTTTAAACAAATACTATCTACTCAAAAACATAGTTTGTGTCTTATTCCCAGCACTCCTAGGGCAAAAAACACTGTAAAATATAGTGTTTTGTAAAATGTGTGTTCTTAAACTAACTAAACTGGAATTAAAATAGAATTAGGCAAACTTAAATTAGAAGATTTCAATCAAGATCCTTTTAACATTGATTGTGGAATTTGCTATTTATTAGATATTAGATTGCAATAAAAATCATTTCCAAATTCTCTTTAAAATTCATTGTGGAAACTAGTTCTTACAATTAGATTTTAGTCAAAATCCTTTTCAATTTAGGGGTGGCTTTGATTTAATATCAGATTGTCTTTAAAATCGCTTTAAGATCATTTGTGGAAATTGTGATGCTTAATTAATTTGAATTGATTTTGTATCTGTTTGCTCCCCACTACAAGGTTACATCAAATAAAAGGATTTTAACTAACATCTAATTATAAGAATTGATTTCCACCATTAACTATTAATTGAAAATTAATTTTCACAAACAATTCTAAAAGGGTCTTGATTGATATCCAATATACAAGCAATTCAATCAACTTATGTTGAAAAGAACTTAAATTAAAATCTAAACAACAAGCAATTTCCACAATGGTTGTGAAAAGGACATTAATTGACATTTAAGTAATGCCTAATTTCTACAATGAAATATAATAGGATTTTAATTGAAATCTAATTCAAAATCAATTGCCACAATGATCTTGAAAAGGCATTTAATCGAAATTGAATTACACATGCATTTTTCTACAATTAATCTTGAAGAAATATTAATTGAAATTTAATATAAACACCAATTTCCCCAATGATTTTGACAATGATATAAATGAAACGTAGTTTATAAAAAATCTACAATTAATCTTAAATACATTTTTAATAGAAAGCTAATGATACATCAATTTCCACCAATAATTCTGAAAGCGTTTTAATTGAAGTCTAATACCAAAATCAATTGAAATCCAAGTTAACATCAAATTCCACCGTTAAATTTAAATGAAGCAAAAACACTGTTTTACAGCGATTTCTTGCAAATTCATCTCCAAAATTGAGGTTTTGAGCTATTTTTTGAGCAATTTTGTGAGATTGGTTTATTGGTTTTTTGGTTTTTTGGTATTCCCTCTAAATTGGGATAGGCTTGGATCTCACAAAATTGATCAAAAAATAGCTCAAAACTTCAATTTTGGAGAGGATTTTGCAAGAAATCACTGTAAAACACAGTGTTTTTGCATCATTTTTTGCATGAAAAACATCTCCCAGGAGCACCCGTTCTGTAAATTTACCCCCCAGATTTTCTAAAAAGCAATGGCAAGCATTTCTTGCGTTTTTGATGTGTGGGTGCAGCCCCCTCCGGGTCTTGAAGTAGTAGAGGGCTGCAGTGAAGCGCCACGCAGTAAGGTGTTCCTGTCTGCCCGGCCGGGTGTTTTTCTGAACCTGTAGCTGTTAAAAAAGACAGTAAAGGACACATCATGCATTCAGTGGAATGGTGGTATGGATCACAACAATAAGCGAAGCGGCGCAGCTGGGAGTTGAACCGCGGGGGGGGGGGGTTAGCTTGATATATCAATCTTTAAGGCACGCAGCCCCTCCCACCACAACATTGCTAAAGCAAAGAAGAACTCAGCTAGCATGCTAGCTTTCGTGATCAAGATCTTTGATAGGCAGGCATTGGATGAGAAAAATATGTCGTTCATGGTTTTATTGGCAATGTTTGGCGAGCATTTTGCCAATTTGGCTGGAGATTAAGACAAAGATAGGCAGGTCAAGTAGGTTCAAATTAGGTTGTGCCTATTTTGGTTCGGTAATTTTAATCAGGTTCCCCCGGAATGGTGATCTTAATTGTATTAATTATAGGATTTAAATTCATGATCTTTGGTATAATAAAATCGAAATTGTTATATATTATATATATTTAATTTGTAAGAAATATCTAGTTAGTATCTATATTTATTATATGTTTATATTGATAGGTTCGCGGTGGACAGGGTCCTAGATTCTAATGGAAGAGATTTTGTCTGGAATATAATGCCGAGTACATATTAGAAAACGGACCCCTATTAGAAAAAAATCATGTCGGAAACCCCTAAATACGGTTTATATTTGTTTTTAAATTACCGCCCTTTCAAGCCGCTATTAAACTACCAACATTGCCGACTTTGGAAGAATTTCTTTTATTAGGTTCAAAAAACAGCCGTAACTGCCCACCTCTGTCTGCCCTGTCTACCACCACGACACGCCGCGCTTACACCAGCAGGCTTTCCTTCCCCCAGTGGCACGGACTCACGCAAACGCACTTGCCACCGAGGTCATGCAACACCGCATGGCACAGCGACATCACCCTTCGAAAGCTTTAGCTGTTAGTCTACTGAAGAATCACTATTCTAATGAAGGTTTTTGGTAGGGGAAAAGGAAGACCCTTCGATCTGGAGCTTCTTTGCATTTTTGATACGAATTTAATAAAGATTTTATATAAAATTTTACTGATTTATTTTTGGTTTTGAAGCTCTTCCCAGGTGACCCTATTTTGGACCCCCCGATTTCAGGGACCCCTATTAGAAAAAATGCGACCGAGGTTTCCTTTTTTTTGGGGGGGGGGGGGGCCGTGTTTTTTTAATAGGTGGACCGGATTAATAGTTCCTGACGTCATTGAAGGCAACTTTCGGACTTTCAGCTAGCAAGATCAGGACTTAACAACACAATCCTTGGAAAGGTTCTTTGCCTTTCATAGATCCAAATTGATCTTGGTCGAATATGCCGTAGAGTTCGATGCACGGTTGGATGAAGCAACAGATCGAACAAATCTTCAATTAAACGATATTCAACAATTCTGTTTATTATTCATGAATAGCGGTTTATCGACCAAACAGATTGATGATATCAAATTTCAGATTCACGGCGCCTATCGCAGGAATACCCATGTTCGATCTCTTGCTTTGAGGTTGGCTCCCGACAAGGCTGAAGATTATCGCATGGCCTTCTACTAGGACGAATGATACGGAGAAGAGCATGGAGCAATTGATATGATCATTATAATCAAATCTTCGATGAGGATCCCGATTTCTATGCGGATGAAATGATCCCCCCTGAAGTCACGATCAATGACCCCAGCCCCTGTCTCGATCCCTCTGATCGCCAACGATGATCTTGGGGCAATGCGTCCATAACTGCCTCGAGGGAACTCCAGTGCGATCCCGGTCTTCCCAAGGACACTGTCACCAGGCGGCACCATGGTCTCAATGATAGAGTACAGATCTAGGCTAGCTGCCTGTTCTAATGAATGGTGGCAAGAAAATCAAGATCATACCCACCAACAATCAAATGAAATAGGAGTCCATGCTCCAACATCATCCACGGCGGCGTCTTCGACCAATGAGACCAATAGTGAGATTGCCGAGGATATTACAAGGGCAAGGGCAAAGGTGGCAATGACAATTGCTACAATTGCGGCTCATGTTGGCATCATATTGCAGATGTTCCAATGAAAGATGCTCCTGGGGATCAATCGAACGACCTCTGACGTAATCACCGATAGAGGCCGTGCACGAGGAAGAGCGATCGCAGGTCCAAAACCCTCAACTCCTCCCTCGTCCGACTCGGAAACTCTCTAGGTCCCAGGTTCGCGGAATATATAACGACCTCGATTGTCCACCTATATGGATGATAGGCACCTCTTCAAATGGAATCCCAATCTCTTCTGAAATATTCCGTGCATACGCCGTTCGACGGCGTTTCGCAGCAGCGCCGGATTTGATCCCGCGATGTCACGGTGGATCGGCGTCCGTGCATCGAGATCGAGAAGCAAAACAATATATATTTCCTAATAGTCCCAAAAAGCAATCAATTAAAATCGATACGGCTAATAACCACTTGAAATGAAAACCAATCCAATAAACAATCAACACAAGAGTTAAATGTGCCGTGACCGCGACAGGGTTGTGGGCGTTCTTTTTCACTTAAATCAAATGAATATTATATATCATCAATCATATCTATATAGGAAGATTGCTATATATGGTAAAATTCAATCATTATAGATTATATATCAATTTAATTATCATTCCTCTCCTCCTCCTCGTCTTCCTTAATTGCCAATTCCGAATATAAATATTTCCCGCTAGACCTCAATCGCAAATAAACATATTTACTAAAAAGAATTCATAAAAATAACACAAAATATACCAAAAAGAATATCAATAAAAATATATTAATATAATTTTAAAATATTAATAATTAACATATCTTGCATATTCTATTTAATATTTTTATAATAATATTTTAATAATAATTAAATAAAATAATTGTATGATTTAAATATATTTTATAATATTATATTTAATATATATTTTAATATTTCATAAATTATTTTATATCAATTATTTAATATTATTTATATTATATATATAAATATAATTAATATAATAAAATATATCTATTAAGAAATATATATTATATAAAATATTTATTTAATACATATTTAAATCTATTTCATTTTAAAAAAAAATAATTTAATACGATAAAATTATTTATAGATTAATTATATATATAGATTAAATTCTAATATATTAAAAACATATATTTATCTATATAAAAAGCAAATAAATATTAATCAAAATCTTTTATATATATAACAAAAAACAATATAATTTTGAATTATAAATTATAATATAAATTCTTAAATCAAAATTATTACCATTTTACATAAAATGCGAAACCCAAATCATTAAAAATCCGGTATATATTTATAAATTCAATAGTTTTCGATATTTTAATAATCAATTTTAATATTTCCAATTCATATTCATTAAATCTATGAATTTAGTTAAATATTTGCAATATATTTATATAATTTCTTTAATTTAAAAAAAAAAATGTTATCAAATATTAAATATAATATATATCCGTCAAATTATAATTGTATTCAATTTAAAAATATTTCGATATTAAAATTATTTATATATTTAAACATATAAATTGTTTAAAATCTATGTAAATAATATATATATAATTAAATTCGGATCTATATTATATCCATCAAAGCCGTATTATAATTCATAAATTCATTTATATATATATATATCATCATTATCTTAGATATTGCAATTTATATTTAATATATAATCATATTATTTCAATTTCAAAAATATAGATTATATCAGATATTTATGTATTATATATGAATCTTAGTGTATTTCTTTAAATCTTAAATAATGAATATATCGAATGAATGTCGATATATAGGTCAACCCCCCCCGCCATGATTATACAAGTTTCCAATATCATAAGATCCCCCCTATGATTATCTTAATGTCTGTATTCTAGATTGCGTCGGATGTTCATATTTGGTTACGTACCACATCCAATGTAAAATTAAATGGATGTTGATATGATGATATATACAAATAATTCCATTTTGTACGATATCTTGGATTGAATCGAATCGAATTTGAGATGTCAAGCATCAATACGTTCGCTAAAAGCATAACGCCAGTGACACCAATCTGTACAAGTCCAGCCTGGCGATCTTACAGTGCTATAATTGGAATCAAAAAGCTTCTAAGAAACATCAGAATCTTCATCACTGCCGACGTCTTCATCCTGGCTGCATACATGATTTTACTCAAACATATTCAAACAGTTACATACATGTCCTCCATCACAAGTCTCAAACATAGGATTTGTTCTTTTTGATTGTCGCAAGATGGCAATTAGGATTGGAGTATACGCACAAGCAATATTCTCACGATGTTGGGAGGGCGTCCAAGCTGCAACATCTCTTCCACGGAGTTTCGAAAGATCTTGGAATATGTCTGCCCCGACGTTTCAGCCAATCTGTGGGGATCTGATGGGCTTGATTGGGTCTTTGTAAAACCCCAGTCCTCATCCTCCTCCGGCTCTTCAGGCTCCTCTGCTCGGAGCTTCTTGGCTGGATGGGACTCTCCACGTGCTTCAGCTTCAGCCTTCTCTCGTTCATACCTGCCCCCCGTCGTTTCATATCGTTTCACCGTCAAAACATCCACTTAACCTACAGCTTAGGCTGCCGCTTTCACCACTTGACAAGCTGCTGTTCACTAAGTTGGACTGTAGTGCCTCTAGAGTCCAAGCGACGCTGGACACAGGGGCATGTTGACCCACTTCAGACAACTCTTAAGCCGAAGGTGCTTTTCAGTGGGGCTCTCAAAGTTGTTGAACTCCACTAAGTAACGCATGCGGACTTGAGCTGGATCATAAACAATGAACCTGATTCATGCTGTGCGTCCTCAAACTAATCATAAACACAGTGTGAGGGAACTCTGATATTCGAGATCAACGTGGCTTCAAGATGTTTCTGTCAAGTCGGGTGGTTACGAACACGCAGAAACGTTAGCGCACAAATATAGAAAATTGATGCTGATTTGAACTAGGCGCTCACTGTGGCCAAGTCCACCTCCGGAGTGGGACTTCATAGGGCCTGGCACTTGTGCGCCGCCTGGTTCCTCATCGCAGAGCTCAAGAACGACATGAGCCAATCCAATGAGTTGCTCCTGTTACAAAACCTCAACTAATACCAAAACAATACCAAGAACAAAACCATCTCAAACGCCTGCTGGTGTCGCTACCACCACAAGCACATACCAGCACGATAAACAACCATGTCTCTCAGAGCCCTGAGACAAAGTATAGCCAAGCCGCGTACAAAGCGTTCTCCCAATCCGGGTGGTTGCTGCCCACACCCCATGTGGAGTTGGTTCCTGCTCGTGGCTCCTCCATGTACTCACCTCCATGTCTTGGATACATGTTTCCCAATGATACATCGCAAAGGAGCATGTAAGAGGCCTGGGAGCCTCCATCCGCACAGTAGGCACGGGATTTGCTGAAGACATCCGCAAAGTAGATGCCCTTCCCAAACATGTAGCCTTGCACCGGTGCTTCGGGGGGAGCCACGCGCAAACCCTGCGAGAGAATACTGATGAAGTTGGAAGATCGAGAGCCATGCCACAACAGCCGTCGATTCCCCAAATCCTTAAAACGTTCAGCTTCTCCTTCTCGGGAAATGCGATAAATAGCTGTCACTGTGTCGTTCCCCGAGCGGGAGCCACAGAAGCCATTCTTGCGCTTCTGGCCTGGTTCTGGGATTTCTCCAGGCTTCACCACCCTTGGTGGTGACCCACTGGATGTGTCTCGCATGTAATCCATTAGGGCCTTGAACTCATCCGTCTCTTGGTTCACCTCAGCCATAAAAGCAAGATCAAACCGCACACCATCTTTGAGTCCATCAACACTAAATTAGACCATCACAGCACAGTTACTCCTTGCGCGCGCCTAAAAAATGATTCAGAGCACTTGAAGTTCTGCAGATTCGGCCAAGAAAGACAAACATGTGCAAAATTGATTATATAGACACATCTATGTTGCTCCTTTACACCTAATTACTTTCAGAGATGTTTGGAATTCCTCAACAAAATGTGTTGATGCGTTTTGGTTTTTGAAACGTTTGTGCGTTTCGGCTCTGACTGGGCAGTAGAATCACAATCAGCCCAGCGGCCTGCTCAAAGGCCACTCCCATACTCCGCTTGCAGTAGTCCAACGGATTCCTTCAGCCATGGGACCAATTAAAGCGCCGGACTTTTTTCCGAGAAACGTTCCGTTCGGAGTGCATGCGACCAAACTTGGCGGTCTATCCCTGTAGAGCGTGACCAATATCTCATCCTTCTCACCCAAGAAATAAACAAAACAGGAGATTGAGCAGCCGAGAATCTCTTTCTTTCGTTGGTGCTGCGCTGCCAAGAGAGTTCGCAAACCTGCACTGGCTTCGGTGAGATTCAACAGCGCTTCGAACTCCTTGGCAAGAGCTTGGTCGTTCTCAATGGGTCGAGCTACCTCTGTAGTGCCAGCACCGCGCGGCACCAACTCCTTAGCGAGGTGTTTGGGCATCAGTCGACTCATCCACCACCCGTTGCCTTGGGCGTTGAAGGATGCTAGCAGCAAAATATTGCACTTATAAATTTAACATGTTCGAGGTCGCAAGGACTGTGGACTATGGAGGGCTACAAGCTCGTCCGAAATGGACAAGTTTATTGGCTCTTGACGCCTTCCAGGTCAAGATGAGCATTCATGAGCTATCATCCCTACAGTTTAAGTCAGCAAGAGTATGGGAATACCTCTCAGAACGTCAAAACTGGAGATAATGCCTGGAATCATAGTAGCGGGAGGAGAGCTCCAAGATCTTTTCACGGATTTCATTGCGCTGTTTGGAGGCCTCCAAAACTTCTTCTGCCTTGGCAAAACCTGTCTTCATGCTCCTGGCGGAAAACATCTGAATATCTTTTCCGCACGAAGAACACTGATGAAGAGGATCGTAAAGGAAAGTCGGAAAGTCAATCGCCTTATTGAACAAACCTGCGCCTGTAACAGGAAACAAAACAGTGCCTGGGTCCATCAGGTCCGCCAAAGTGCTTCATTCCATTCTGCTTCGGACCTCATTCTCCTTAGCATTCCCGTCAGGACTTAAGCCATTTACTTTTTCGAATGCCTGGACGCCGGACCAACCCCCTGGCCCCTCCATCACCCGTGGTACCACGGGGTCCTTGCAGACTTCAAGGCCTTCAGTTCTTCAATGGCCGCTTTGATGTTACCCAAAAGAGTCCTTAGTCATTGCGGCTGCCAAAACGTCCCACTCTCCTCGCTTGGACCATGAACAAAATGTCTTCACCATAACTAAACATATCATAAAAGAGAGTGGTTCTGTTCACGGTTGTGTTCATGTAACTCATTATAACACCGCATGTCTTTTTTATGCAAAGAATCTTGGCTTCATCCAGCGTTGCCCTCGATAAACTTCCGAAGGGCATGGACTGAGTCTTGATGCCCATGGATTTCACGGCTTGCAAGATGTTGCTGGGATCACAAATGCTGTCCTGGTAGCTGCATTTTGACCCCCTTTGCAACCCTACGACCCGGTACTTAGCACAGCCACCACCCTCTTAATTTTACATATTTTTCCTTAGACTAGACTCAGACTATATAAATTACTCTGTTCATTAACCAAACGTTAAACAGCTGTGCAAAGGAGCATATTGCTGCTTCCCAGTGTCGATAGTCCGCCATAGCATGCGGGGCAGTGCACTCTTGGCGTTCACTCCTAAACTGAAAGGCTGTACGATCTCTTCGCTGCGCGCTGTGGCACGGCGGCGCTTGAGAAGTTGATACTTGTTGGGCTTCTTCTCGAAGACTGCGCCAGTGGCATCCCACACCTCAGGCGTTAGGCCCGTTAGGCTGCACCGCCAGGCTACGTATGAACATGTCAATATAATCCAAAGGACCGGGAGGATTGAAGAGTCTCATCACTTGTCCTTTCTTTTCCTCTTTGGTGCGGAAGTTCGTCGAAATGAACAGACCTATATAGGTGACTTAAGGAGTTTCATCCATATGCGATCTGGCCAAATGCAGTAAAGCGACATTTCCAGTCTTTTCCTCAGCAAGGACTCACACACACACAAAAATGAATTTATATATATGATAAGAGCGAGTGTGACTTTGAGAATTCGGGAAATTGTGGGAACACATGGAAAGAACACACATCAAAACTGCAACCAATCTTACAGCGTTTGGCCAACGAGCTTCCTTGAACACTTTGCAGAAATCTTTCATCCCCTCTTCCTTGTTGGCAGCTGGAGTCCTTTGGAACATGCCAGTCTCGCCAATCTCCCCCCAACGGGTGAAGAGGACGTAGAGGTCTTTGTTCGTTTCATAGACCAGCCTGACACACACCCGGTCTGCACTCATGGTACGGCGCCTAAGCTTGAACCTCTGCAACAGGAAAGTGAGGGCAAATGGCCTCCAACCTAGCAGCTTCTTGCTACTAGTAGTAATGGCCTCCAACCCAATACCAATGCGCTCCAATCTAATAGTGATGGCCTCCAACCTAATAGCGATGGCCTCCAACCTAATAGCGATGGCCTCCAACCAAATAGTGATGCTTAATATATCTATCTCATATATTCTCATACTGTAATTATCGACTCCCTCTACAGGAACTGTTAATTAACCCATTCCCTGTCGGGCAGCTGGAGATGGTAGAAGCGCATCTCATCACGCTTTAGATCGACCTTGAAGAGCAAGGCATCATACTCTTCACCTTCCTTCTCTGCAAAGACCTTGTTCTCTCCGGTCATTCCATAGGCCTGACGTCATTCCATGACCCGAAGTCAGCAATTGGGTGATGGTGATGGGCTGTCATTCACGTTCGCTCAATCGCTCGCCTTGTGCACGGGAATGGGGGTGCGCTTCACGGTCGCCTCCACCCGTTCCAACTCCTTACGCGCATCGGCATCCAGGTCCGGCTTGGCATTGCTGGGAGCCTTGAGCTCAGAAATGTCCATATGCACCTGGAAATCAATAGCCAAAGAAAGGGCCAAAGGGCTGTGTAAGGACTGTGAACCAGAAGAATCAAAGGCCGAAAGATCAGAAAAGCTGGCCAAAACCAGCCACATTAAACAACTTCAGCTTCTCTTGATGCTGGGTGAGCTCAAAATCTTCTTAGAGACACGGTTCTTCAGGTTTGTGGACACCAACAGCTTGCGCAGGGAGCCTGAAAATATCTGAAAATCCTGCCTGGAGCCCAGCTGCGGCCAAAACAGCAGCCATGCGACCAGAGCCTTGCTTCACAGCCAAGGACACTGGTGTGAGGCCTTGGTTGTCAGGCGTCTGAGCAGCTTCCAGGCCCTGTCAGGAGCAAGGCCGTTTCAACATTAAATCTCTTTCGAACCAACAAGACAGGTATAGTCACTACTGTATAGCCCAAGTTCAAATTAGTATTAAGGAGTTCCCTCCTGAAAAAAGACACACACACACATAAATTGTGAAATGCATCTTTTTGCCATGTGTACACGGAACGCGACCACGACAAAAGAGGTTCCCTATCCACCCGCCTGCCTTTGGAGTGCGCAGCATAGCAGCCAAATGCCGAGTACATTCATGGGAGAGATGTGGCTTCCTTAAAGCTTCCGGGCGTGGAACTCCAAGACCGGAATCAGGGCGGTCAAACTGTCTGGCTTTCTGATCCCTACCTTAATATCTGTGGGTTTTCATTCTATTTATTAGGGGGTACTCACAATACAACTGACACAGGAGCTTTGCAAAGTCATGGTTTCGGCTGGATGCAGTGGTGAAGTGAATTCCGCATCTTCTTGTCCTGCGCAAGTTGGCCCAGGCGTGGTCGTCAAACTAACTTGAGTTCAATCTTCGGAAGAGACTAGCATGTCTTCTCAATGCTGGATAATGAAAACCGCGTTTAAAGCCGCTAGGCCACTGCACCACCAAAGAAAAGGGGATGATGGGTCTCTCTTCTGTTTGGAGACCCTGGAATTAATAAGGCTCAAATATCTAAGATGCTGACACTATGCATGACTCAGAATCCTTCTGGCCGGGGTCTGCTTTTGCGTTCAAGAGTTCATCCACCACATCTTTGCGATTGGCCAGCACTGCAATGCTCAATGCCTTGGACGGTTCTTTGTTCCACGGCAAATTGCTGCTACTCTTGAAGTTTGGCATTATGGGTGCAAACGCGGACCTAGATAAGCAAATTCCCCACACTCTATCATGTCTAGATGCTGATCGTCCAAGTTTGTCTTCTCCCGCTTTGGAGGTATCTGCCTTGGCCTGCAGTAAATGTCTGACTAAAGCAGCATTGCCCGAGATCGTCGCTGCCAAGAGTGGCTTGTGCCCCTCCATATCGCAACCCTTTTCTGGGCTGGCACCTGCTTTGAGCAGAGCTTCAGCTGTATTCCATGATGACATCTGGATGGCTGCGCTCAAGGCTGAACGACCTGAGGAATCCACCGCTGTCGGGTTGGCCGCTGCAGAGAGCAAAGCAGAAATTGCAAAGGTCATGCGCTTGTCCACCGCGACCAGGATTGGTGCCCGGCCCTTGGCGTCCAGACCCTGGTTTGGAGATGCCCCCAATTTCAGGACCTTCACAAGCACATCCTGTGGCCTTGATAGCGCATCCAAGACCAAAGACCCACCGTCTCTTGAAGGAGCTTCCGTGAAGCTTGCGCTCGCACGGGCTAGTTCCATGATCAATTCCACTGGCCACTGGTCAGAAAGAACTGCGTAGTGCAATGGTGTGTTGCCCTTGCCATCCCGCTCGTTCGCATCTGCTGAATGAAACAACAAAAGCCTTACAACTTCCAATTTTGAGCCCGTCGAACTTTGCAAAGCACCACAAAGGCTTGTTGCATTGCGACCGTCCTTCCTTAGCTTTTGTTGTTGCGTTGCTACCTCATCCTCCCCTGCCCAAACTCTAGCGCGAACTAGCGCTCATAATTGACGGGTTATACAAGTGGAGGGGGTATATGTGGGGATGGCGGAGGTCGCGCAGACTCAAAAGGTTAAATAAATGTACTGCAACCAAGCCCCTTGAGGCCAACAACTATCCTAGCAAAAGACCGCAAACAGTGCTAAGTAGAAAAACCAGGGCGAATAAGCCAACACCCACACTCTGGAGCACACATATGGGAGCAAACACATGACAGCACCCGTATGAGAACACACATGACAGAACAAGTATGAAAGCAAACACATGAGAGGGCAGAAATGAGAGAGCACACACACATCACAAACGACAGCAATAGCAAAAATTTGAAAGCACACATGTCAACACAAACATGAGAGCACATACGAAGAGAACACATGTGAGAACACACGCACGCATAGATGAGAGCACGCAATATGAGAGCAAAGCATCATCAAAACATCTACGAAGGCACTCATATTCTGTGAGAACACTCATATGCAAGAGCACGCGCATGTGAGCTAACACATGAGAGCATAGACATGAGAGCATGCACATGAGACCACATATATGGCAGCACATTGCATGAGAGCTTGCATGTGAGAGCAGCTTCACAGATTCTGCGCCTGCCACGAAATCTGCAGTTGGAGGTCCCCAAAGTGCTGCACCACGCCTGCCACGAAAAGGCATTTTCAGATTGCGCCTGCAATGAAGAGTGACAACCAAGTCCGAAAACGCACACGGCACCACAACGAGAGTGCTTCCTCTTGCCGCGGTAAGCTTCAGCGAGCCTTCGCAGTCGAAATGCCCTTCGAAGACCTCGGGAGGCATTGATGTACCATAAATAGGCCGCCGGCCTTGAGCACCCTCGATCAAGCGCAGCCATAAAGAAGCCCTTATTTCGGTGTCCACAGGGTTGGGACGAAAGCCAGCCTCTGTAAGAAGACATCAACATGGCAATGGGGGGCGAAGTCGAGATCGCACTGGAACAGCAAGAATGGTCAAATAAAAGGCAGAGGTTGAAAGTCGTAGTAAAGGTGGGGGAGCGAGGAAAGGTTACTGCCGAGATCACGCGAGGACCGGGGGAGAGATTGTCGTTGCTATGGGGGGATGTCGACATAGCAATGATGCTACTGCTGGTGGAAATAGAAATCTACATGGGTTAGGGGGGTGCCCTTTTTTCGCTCGGCGCAAGGGCGTTTTGAAGTTGAAAAGGGCACCCCTAGGGAACTCAGGGGCGCTTGCTCGCTGTTTGCTATACACGTCCTGCAGATGGACTCAAGGACTTGGCGTGCAAGATGAAGTGATTGATTGGCTAACATAGTGCAAAAAGTCTCTTTATGGGGGACATCGCAGCCACATCGATAGGGGCTATAGAAATAGAAACTAAAATAGACAGCCGTTTTTCGTCCTTGTTCAGGGGTTTTGGAGGTGAAAAAGGGCACCCCAGAGGAAGTGAGGGGCGCTTGCCTGATGAGTGTTGCCAAATGGTGCCCTTTTGAGTCCGGCAACTAGGCCTCGTCAAAGTTAAAAAAGGGCACCTTCAGGCAATTCAAAGCTTGCCCGCTGCAATCTGCTCCCCTGCCCTCAACAGACCGCATCACTACATGAACTCGCAAAAATTCATCCGGCGCTGTGAACTCCCACCCCATATGGGATGCCCTCTTGAGTCCGGCAACTAGGCCTCTTCACCGCTAAAAAGGGGCACCCCCAAGCAATTCAAATTGCCGCTGCAATCTGTTCTCTCTCCTGCCCTCATGAACTCGCGCCCTATATGGGGTGCCCTATTGCGTATGGTTGCCAGGCGTCGCACCCCCAAGCCAGTCCGACATTTCTTGCAAGCCCTCTTTTCCTACCACGCTTGCCCTCAGTCCTCACAGATCACGCAGTGTCTTAACAAACTAAGAGACACGCACCTCCCTTTCACCCCTGGTCGAACAATATTTCAATGGGCACCACAGCGCGCATCTCCCTTTTCTGGAGGAGTTCCAACCACTTTTAGCGTCCCGTTGTCCCCTCTTTCCTATGTAGAAGACGGTTTACATTGCCCGAGCCCCTCGTGGTGCTAATGATGCACTACTCGCTGTCAATTACATCACTTGCATCACAACATCCCAAAAACCAATCATTTTCACTACCTCCCGGCCACCTCTTTTTTTCGCTCTCCCCCACCAGGCTCTCAATTGACCCACCGCCCCCACACTCACTTCGTTTGCTCCCCAAAACTAGCCTATCAGCTGGCTTTCGTGTGATATACAGTATACAATATGAATAACACTATATAATAGACTTGAACTACATTGAACTACCATATAGTTGCGCGCTCCGTCCAGTGGGGCCCCATGTCACGCCCATGTGCGTCTTGCTGGTGAGTATCATGTTGGGATCACTTCCGGCCTCCAACAGCCTTGCCACGGACTTTTGGAAGGCTTTGGCTGCAACGTTCACCAAGGGCACATTCACCTGGCGAGGAGGCGATTCTTGGGTTTTCTCAATGCGTCGCTTTCTTTTGGATTTGCGCTCCCGTACCAAGGGTCGAGGGCCTGCGGCTCCTTCTGGCGTTTGCAAGTATGACTCAAAGCAGAAGAGACAATTTTTTACAGCAATATGTAAGATGTCTGCATACAGCGTAACACTATGGACCAATCCTTGATCCAAAGAGTTCATCCGGAAGAGGCTGGTGAGCGAGACTGTTGAAAAAATGTTGCTAATGAGACCACATTCATTGTCTTTTTGATTCTTTTAGGGGTGAAGGACGCTACTACGGGCTCCTGGCCGTACTACTAGGAGCAAGGACGCTACTGAGAGCAAAGGGCACCAAACCGCAGCTTTCCCGCCTCGGGATTCGGTCCGAGCTCTTTCACATCGCGGCCAGATATCTTGCAGCTCTCAATTTCCAGCTGGGCCCCATGCGCATACTTGAAGGGCATCCTGTTGTGAAATTTTTGAACAGCTATGGCATTTCCCAAGATGCCTTGAAGACTTGAAGCCTCAAAAAAAAAAACATAACATTGCTGGAGCAAAACTTCAAGGATCTGTGCTGCTGCAGTATGGAGCGGCAAGACCATGTCGAGGAAGGCCAAATGGTCTGCCTCCGAATGACTCTGAAGCCACTGTCGAGTGCAAATCGTGTGCACCGGCACTTGACCCTCAACATCCTTCCGAGCACACTGCCTGGGCGTTTGGGCCGTAGATGATTCAAATCCACATCAACGCAATCTTGATTCGACATCGTTTCAACTAGAAATGAATTCATATGAATTCCAATTCTCATCAACTCTATCCAAATCCAAATGCAACTTCACATATGAGATGGCATGGGTTGACATATGTCAAATTATTCATCGACACTGGTTTCAGCCCGCTTGCGCTTGATCCTGTCGAATCAGCCAGCGGCACAAGTCCCTGTGAGCATTCATGGCAGCATCGTGCAAAGGAAGTCGCTGATCCACATCAAGTGCTAGGGGCGCAAGGCCGCGCCTTGGTTTGTCTGCAATGCGGATGAGGACAAACCGAGGGAACTTCAAGAATCTCTGTTGACAAAACGCCAAGAACGGCGAAGTGATGGTCTTTCACATGTCTTCACCCGTGGGATGCTTGATGAATTGAAATGAGTTAAAATGAGTTAAATCGGATTGTGTATGTGCTATATGTGTGAGGGAGACCTACTGCGTAGCTGCACAACGCAGGTTTCAGACTCAGTCGATTGACAATGGATTTCTTCACTCGTCCATATTCACAGACCTTGGATTGGTCTACGCAATCTTATTCGGCGTATCATTGACGCCGAGTTCGGACACGTAGCCCAGCCCTTGCGAGACCAGTGTCGCAATGGTGGGGCGAGTTGCTTGAGAAGCTCATCCGCAATAGCCGTGGCCTCCGGCGCCAAGGTCTTTCCAAAACCCGCCAAGGCGTGGAGTAAGTTCCTCTGCATGGGATCCAAACCTCAGTGAATGAAGGCTTCGTGAAGACAGCCAGGATGGAGGCTCACCCTTGGGGGAATCCTGTGAAATTCGACATGCATTGGCCACATTGGTCAGCATGTCACTGGCAAACGCGTCTGAACGTGGTTCAAGATGTTCAATCAATATCGTATTGGAGCTGCATCGCCGTCCTGATAGCCTCCCATCTCTAGTCTACGCCTGCAGGATACAACATCTGAATCCATCTGCATTGTTCCCATGTGCATCTATGTAATCCTATGTATATATTCATATAGTAGTTTTGTCACATGCACCAAACCTACAGGGCATACCGGACATCCCGCGCTGCGCCGAGAGACGCTGCAGAACGTGATTTTCCGAGGGATTGATCTTTGAAAGAAGAGTCAAGACCAAGCGAAACTCGCCGAGCTCCAATGCATCTTGAATGGCGCCATGAAATGGATAGCCATGGTCCAGCAGAAGGTAGGAAAGCCCAAGCCACTGCCCTGACATCCATAAAGGCTACAAAACAGCAGAAAACAAAAGGAAGAACAGCTCAACAATCGGCTTAGATTGGATTGTTCAAATCCCGGATTGAAATACCTTCCAGAGCAAAACAATCAACAGGAAGAAGAAGACAGCGCGGAACTGCTTTCCAACTTTCCAACACCAAGAAACGAGAGGTGGACTCTCGAAAGAGGGACAGTGGTGGACCAGGTTCAATCTTCTGTCGCTTCTGGGAGGTCTCATCAGAGGCTGAGACACGTCGCAAGTGACCTAATCAACTCAAAGACTGGTTGCACAAATGATTGCGCAAGCTTTAAAGATCACAGTAGAGTGAGTGGGTCAACAACTTCAACCTTGACGGTGATGCTATTCAGTGGGTTCAGGAGAAGCATATTATTGTATACTAACTGCATCTAACTACTTGCGCTTGTACCGTATCAGCAAATTAGTGACTCGAGGCTACCAAATGTTTCGATTGCTCTTTTACAACAAAAGGCCCTCTGCACTGCTGCCAACAACTGAGACGCAGGGTTTCAGCTCTGTTCCTGTCGCTAAGATTCTTTGAGTGAAATGCCCAATTTGTTAGGAGCAAGGACGCTACTAGGGGCTCCTGTTCTGTTCCGAGGTCCGGACGCATGGGCCGTTCCACATCTCCCGCACCCTGGGATAGCAAGGTGATCCCATATTGGTCGTGGCCACTGGCCTCGGCACTCTGTCGCCGGAAGAAGCCGCATGGCACCGCATGGCGGCCATGTTTACTGTTCTTTTTTTCATCAGAACCGAAGAAAGAACATGAATGTCGCATCTCGTCTGCATCGCCAAAGAGGCCGCCTGTAGCAAAGGGGGCTTGTGCTTGAGACTTGACCAAAGACCGAGGTGACCCAAGTAGCGGCCAAGTGGCCAAGGCAATCCCCAAAGCATCGTTCCCCACATGGTCCCTGCTCTGCAAGGATGCTCCGCGCTTCGCCAAGTAGAGCGATGAGATGGTCGCCCCGCGGCGCGCTGCACAAAGCAGTGGAGTGGCACCAAACTCGTCTGCCACGTCCACCTGAACGCCTGGACTACAGTAAAAGCTACAGTAATATCTGCAGCACCTACTTGAGAAGCCTCAAGCTGTCTTCCCAATTGAGTGAAGATGAGATGAAACCAAATGAGATTAAACAAAAAATATCACGTCGTCTTCTTGGTGGGCAACATACTGAAAGGCCTCCAACAAGTCCAGCCTTCGATGGCGCACATACTCGTCACGGTCTCTACAGGGTCTGCTGCTGAGCTGTCCAGCTGCCTCTCCTTCTTCACGAAGGCATAGTGCCTGGTTTCTTTTTCCCTTCGCCTCGCCTCGCAGCCTTTCAAATCAACAAACACTTCTTTCGAGCGCTAAGAAGTCCGGGCCAACAAAGACTCAAAGCGATTCTCCGCAGGTCCAAGCTGCAGGGGCGTTCGGTGCTGGATGTCCAATGCATTGACATCAGCTCGGGCGTTCAGCAGCAACCGCTCTGCGTTGAAAGAAGGCTCGCTGGCGGAGGCGGAGTTCACCGCCCAGTGGAGCGGAGTGCGCTTGGATGGGTCCTCAGGGCGAAAATCCGTTCATCCAGTGATCCAGAAGAATGTCAAAGGACGGCCGTCCACAGTGGGAGGCTTCAAATTTTACACCAGCCTGGTCCAAAATGTAGCCAATTGTATTGTATGCATTTGTATATAATTACAATATATCACAATAATCTATTCTACTCTTGAAATCTTCCAGAGGGTTTGGATGGGTTTGGTACCTTTGGGTGTCCAGAATTGTTCTTCCACCCAAGGCTCCACGGAGCATGGTGAGGCACGTTGATCCAGGAGCTGCTGAAGGACTTGCAGGTGTCGACACCCTGCGGCCACGTGCAAGGCCATGTGCCCTCCGACGCAGCAGGCCTTGTCGATGTTAGCCTGCGGATTGTTGCTCCTAGTAGCGTCCTTGCTCCTAGTAACGATGCCAGGAGCCCCTAGTAGCTTCTTGTTCCTAGTAGTAAGGCCAGGAGCCCCTATAGTAGCGTCCTTGCTCCTGGTGGGTGGAGAAAGGTGGAGAACTCAGAAGCTTCTATGCTCTGTGCTACGATGACGGGGGGAATCTGTTTGGCTTTCAAAGCCGATCCCTACAAAAAAGTCTTCTGCAGGGCATCGCTACTAGGAGCAAGAAGCTACTAGGAGCAAAGGGCATTTCTGCTAGGAACAAGGACGCTACTAGGGGCTCCTGCTACTAGAAGCTTCTTCTGCAGCTGACAAAGCTTCCTGCCTTGGCTTGGAGAAGGTCATCCATAATTGGACTGCCGTGAGGTTTATTGCTGGTTGCAGCGTGAACAGCATAGAAGAGCGGAGTGGCCTCACCAGTTCAGTCTGAAACGAAAAGCAGTTTTGTGGGGGTCTGCAAGGGGCCGGCGTTTGCAGCATGCGAGGGCCTTGTCTTCACCCAAAACTCTGAAGTTACTGGACCCGTCTGGCCTTGTTGGCAGTGCTGTCAGGTGTATCCAAAGGTGGCCTCTTCTCGAGAAGCAAGTGGACCATGAACTCATTCAGGTGCTCCACTGCGTGATGCATTGCCTGACGTCCATCTTTTGTGTCAGCCACCGCAGTATCAGCCGAAGCATTCCTGCGTCGTAGAGACTTTTTGAATACAGCCATAATATGGCTGCGCCCCACACCTATATAAATAGCTTTCCTTTAAACAACTATATAGCTGTATCACGTTGTATCACGAAGGGTTTCCCAACGCGGTCCTTATTAGTATTCACTTGAACCCGTCATAACTGTGTATCCTACTTGCTACTCCTTCCCAGGAACTTTGGACTAGACTCACACAAAAATCCAGAAAATGAACTTCCTCCTTTGGGTTGGTGGTGTCTGCGGTGATGGGACAATCGTCTATGTTTATTCGTGAAAAAGCATCGGAAAGCTTCTCATCGTATCAAGTTTCAGCAAGACCTTCACCATTGCAGTTGCGTTCCTCGCTGCCGCCTTTTGTAATGGTTGCGCGTAGGTGATCTTGATGGTCTCAACCGCTTGGTAATACATCAGCTTATCCTTTCATTTCAAGCACTTATCTAGACTCTAGATGTAAGGAAGAGACCAAGCTGCACAACATGAAAATGCTGGTTCTGTTTGGGAGAAAAAACATCTTGAGAAGTCCAGGTTTCTCGAGATACGAGGAGCTGCAGCTTCTTCTCAGGCTTCTGCAACAAAGGCGCAAAGTCACCACCACCAATAGCGAAGAGGCTTTTGTCCGCTTCGTTGGGCAGGGACTCCACCGTACCACAAAACATGCAAAGAATGCCGGCCTGAACACACTTTTCAGCGTATCTTGTATGTGCAAAGGGCAAGTGTATAATAACAGCTTTGTGATGAATGCACATATATATATATTATAAATTATACATGTGTTATCACGTGCTTGATAAAAATATATATATATGTGTGTGTGCATGTATTTAACACAAGGTGTGTATGCCAGATAGGTGTTGAACATCAATCAGATCACAAAACACAATTTCCTGCACATCTCGCTGCCTCGCACGCGTCAGAGTCAGCATCTACACCTGCCACCTGTTTTGCCCGCTTCGTGACATGTAACAGAGCAGCTTCGAGATCTTCCTGCAGTCAAAGCATGGAAACATTGCACTTTTCTAGGCAGTTCGTGGGCACCAGCTGTTCTCAATGCCTTGCCACCCTAGACCTCCCCGGATCGTTTTGAGACGCTCAAGGTCGATTCTGCTTGCGGTGCAAAAACAAAGCGAGCCAAAGAATAGAAAGTACATATATTTTTAGGATACAGGGAAGCAACTATAGATATCTTTCAGCCCTGTAGCATCTGCATGCAAGCGTCTTCTTTGATCTTGAGACTGCGCAGAAGCTCGAGAGCCAAGGATGCTTCAATTCCAACACGTGTACCATTCTTCCTGAATGGATCAGCAGGCTTGGCGCCATTTGGCTCGGCCGCTGGTTCCTAGATGCCCAGGTAATCTTCTGGGTCCCCACTGTACCAATTGAGTTGAGTTTTACCAAAAAATGCGACAACTCTATATACAACTGTCACAACAACTATCTCTTCTTTGATCATTTGCGGGTAATGCCACATCAGTGCAGAAAACGTGCTAAACAATTTCACCAAGCTTCAGGTGGCACTGGAAGCCACATCTTGTTGGTCACCACCTGACGCGTCTCAATGGGTACTCCCACATCTGCTCTGGCTTGAACCAGCTGTCCCACCATTGCATCAGAGCCATTCTCCACAGCTGTATGCAAGGCCAGGCGTGGGTGAGCCCTTTGTTGCCCGTACAAGGCAGCACCGAGGTGGCCATGTCCCTCCACAGGGTCGGGGAAGTTCACATCGCTCCGCGAAGAGAGCAATGCAATGACCACGCCCAGGCAACCTTTGGACGTGGAGATATGAAGCGCAGACCGACCAGAGACAGGGTCTGTGACATTGAGGTCTGCCTTGCTCCTACTCAGCAGTCGAAGTGATTGCGCATCCTCTGCTTTTGTGGCCAAGTGCACAGTGTGTGGGCGATCTTTCCCATGCACCATCGGCTTTGCCCCAGCCTCCAGCAAGGCATGGACCAAGCGACTAGTTCCCACAGCTTTGCAGACTGCCTCACGCATTGACTGGAAAGGAAGGCTCTTGGACTCTGGAGCTGTTTGTGATTTTGAGAAGCTCAAGGCGCATGCTCCTTGTCCGCAGAGAACCGGAATCAGGGTACTAGCGGCATCTGTGCGCGGAATGGTGGTCTCCTTACCCCACACATGATTCATGACCTTGGTCACCGAACGTGCCCAACTATTGGAGTTCAAAAGCAAAACATGTTTTTGGCGAAGCTTAACATACCTTAGGATTCCAAATTATGCGCTTCACTTTGCAGTGTGTCTTTATTAATTACTTTGTCCATGAGCAACTTGGTTCAGGACCAATCTTGCTGTACCTGCATCGCAATCCAAAGCCACACCAATAGAACAATCCTCTTTCCATGGTCTAGTATCTGAGATCCAAGTCACCTTGGATGCATGGATGCTCTTTTGCAATGTCTCCTACGAGTATTATTCAGCAAGTTGGATACTTCGAGTCACATAAACTCTGGCATGCGCAGAAGCAAAACACGAGCGTAACAAGAAAGTCCAACTGCAGGGGCTAGAAGTGAGATTGCCATAGCAAGCAGGTGGTAAAATGCGGTTAGAAGGAAAAGACAACGCTTCCCAGGGCTTTTCCTTTGCGTCGTCGAATTCTCGGTAAACGTTACTGGAAAATATCCACGTCATACGGTAGGGGGAGGTTCACTGATTCTTCCCTTTCGAGGAACAAAGTGAAGCGAACACACACGCGGAACATCCCTCTCTCTTGAAGATCAACTAAGCCATGTCCAAGTGCTGTTCACATCGAACCCTTCTCCACTTTAGTTCGCAGCCAATTTGGTTCCTGTGGTGACCTGGTGGTAAGTGGCCGTCCGGAACCAATTTAAGCAAGCCTCTTCAGGCGCGCGCATGGGGTCCTTGCAAAGAGCTACTCCGATTTTTCCATCCTGGATGTGCACATGCTGCAACTCAAAGTACCATCTACCTTGAGTAAGGTGACATAAAAAGCTGCTGTACCTGGGCACGGTGCAAGTGCAATACCACCGCCTCCCACAAGACCAGAAGCAGGAGCAAGGCCCAAAAGAGACAAAGTTATGCTTGCTCTGGGTTTTTACACACTCAGCGAAGGATACTGCTTAATGGCTCCAAGGTACATGCCAGCGGCATCAGGACTGTAGTAGCATGCATCTGCTGAATTTACCATCGCGGGAGCTTTAATCTCTTGAACGACCTCTGGAACCTGCTGCTGGCTTTCAGCAGGTGTGCCGAATGATGCGGGTGCGCCAAATCCACCAAAACCACCTCCAGCTCCAAAACCACCAGCTGCCTTCACACCTGCCTTCTTCACAGCCATAAGGCCAGCCGGTTGAGCTCCAAAGGCTAAGCCAAAGCCAGGGGCTCCAAAGCCAGGCCCTGGCTGCTTTGCCCCGAATGCACCTCCGAAGCCTCCACCTGCTGGAGCTCGAAAGGCGGGCGCAAAAGCAGGAGCGCCAAAGCCACCTGGAGCAGGAGCGCCAAAGGCGCCTGGAGCAGGAGCGCCAAAGCCGCCTGGAGCAGGAGCGCCAAAGGCGCCTGGAGCAGGAGCGCCCAAGCCACCTGGAGCGCCATGGGCGTAACGCGGAATCACAAGCGTCTGTTAGAGGGGAATTCAGTTGAAGAATTTGACGCATACAATCATGCAAGTTACAAGCACTGAAAGATCACCTGTCCACATCTTGTCCAAAACATGCGATGCATTCACCAAGCAAGAAGCCCTTGCCTCCCCCAAAACCAAATGCTCCGGCTGCAGGGGCGGGCGTGGCAGCTGGTTCAGGGGCCGGGGAGGCTGTCGCCGTTCCAGCCTCCTCAAAGGTCAAGACTGCCGTGGAGCCCTGGATCAGTGTTTGTAGTTGGTGAATAATCGCATACTGAATTTTGACCTAGAGAACCTAGGAAACATCAACATGAAGCCAAAAAACTGCATTGCCATGACCCGGACTTTCCAGACAGATGTGCTGGGTCAATCCGTCAATCCTCTGTCAACGCAGAGTAAACAATCTATCGACCAAAAAGGAAACACACAAAACGGCACACTTCAGCCTTTCATTTAGCCCTGCCTCGCCTGCAAATTCTTCCAGGCATCCATGATTTGCGCTTTCTGCATCCCTGCCATTGACTGATCTCCAACCTTTGCGAGGCGCATCCCGTGCTTGATACCAGCTGCCTCGGCATCTGGATGCTTGAGGCCATTCACATAGGCGCCCAGCTCGTCGAAACCCCACTTGACATGCTTTCCCATGCCCTCGACTACAAGGACTTTGCGTTCTGCAGAGGCGCCGGAGACCCCCAATGCCGGGGTGACTCCCTTCTTCTTCAGATCCTCTTCGATCTGTGCAAAGGCTTTGAACATCTCAGCTTCTGCACAAGCGATATGAGCATCCTTCTCTGCAAAGTCTCCGCCCAAAAATCCATTTGGGAGCGGTTCCAGCATCTTCGTCACGTTTGGACCTGAAGCAAAGGATGAGAAAGCACGCTTTGGTGGTTTATCCGATGGCTATGGGCCAAAACCCTGGACCCTGGTTCCCCAGGTAACAAAACACACTTCCGCGTTCAGGGTCATCAATCTCAGGAACATTTTGTATTGGCCATATGTCTCACATTGTCTTGCATGTTTCCTCCAAAGTCGGTGGCCTGAAGTTGCCAGCGCGCAGCACAGCGCAGTCCAACCCTTGGCATCCACAGCGTCGAGGCACCCCGCTGCCTTGGCTGCCTTCAATGTCACTTCGAAGGCTACAGCACGGTCCTCGGTGAAAACGGAGGTCGTCAACAAGTGTTCAAGGAAGGAGAAGTGACATATCAAGGCCCCAAGAACAACTCAAAAAAATCTGGGTACACAGCAAGTCCGGCTTGGGTGCCTCAAAACACAATTTTGAGGAGCAACTACCACCAAGCCCCTCACAAAAGCACGGACAAATCCTCGTCATTGGGTTCTTGAAGCGACAAGGCTCATCTTTGAAGTTCTCTCGCCTAATTGCTTTCACCTTCCAGGGTCGATGGCAACCAGCATAACACTCCCTCATGTAAGTTTAACCACGAAAACGATGAGATCGCAGTAGCAGTAGCAGTAGTAGCAGCAGCAGGAGTAGGAGTAGGAGTAGGAGAAGTAGAAGTAGAAGTAGAAGTAGTAGTAGTCGTCGTCGTAGTAGTAGCAGTAGTAGTAGTAGTTAGTAAGTAGTAAGTAGTAAGTAGGGTACTCAGTAGTAATATAGGTGGGTAGGTAGGTAGGTCGGTCGGTAGGTACGTACGTACGGAAGCGAGCAAGCAAGCAAGCAAGCAAGCAAGCAAGCAAGCAAGCAAGCAAGCAAGCAAGCAAGCAAGCAAGCAAGCAAGCAAGCAAGGAAGTAGTAGTGGTAGTGGTAGTGGTAGTAGTGGTAGTAGTCGTAGTAGTCGTAGTAGTCGTAGTAGTAGTCGTCGTCGTCGTGGTGGTAGTAGTAGTAGTAGCAGTAGTAGTAGTAGTGGTGGTGGTAGTGGTAGTGGTACCAGTAGTACTAGTAAGCAGTAATAAGTAGTACTAGTAGAAGCAGCAGCAGCAGTGGTAGTGGCAGTAGGAGCAGTAGCAGTGGCAGTGGCAGTCGCAGTGGCGGCAGCAGCAGCAGGAGTAGCACCAGCAGCGGTAGTAGTAGTGGTGGTGGTGGTGGTGGTGGTAGTAGTAGTAGTAGTAGCAGTAGCAGAGGAGTAGAAGTAGAAGGAGAAGCAGAAGAATAAGTAGTATTTGATGTTTTTGATATAGTTGTAGTAGTGGTGGTGGTGGTGGTGGTAGCAGCAGCAGCAGCAGCAGTGGTAGTAAGCAGTAGAAGTAGTCTGGCGGTGTGCAGACGATCACTTCACTGGATGTCCTGTATCGCTTGAGGTATCGCTTGGGTATCGCTAGGGGGCGTCGCCGAGCAGCTAGACAATTCGGAGAAGTCAAGGATGTCATCTATCTTCCCAATTGTCCATCCCATCCATTACGATCCCATCCAATCTGACCTAGTCCCAAGCTAGGTATCTATGGATCCTTGGCTAAGGAAACCGGCTGCGGTTCACACAGCATTGTTGCAAATCACTGATGATTGTCGCCATGGTATTGCCTCTTCAAGGGTGGCATTGCTGCTCACTACATGTTTCTCAAGGCGGCTGCCCTATTAAAGTAATCATCGCGTGTTTTCACCCTTGCACATACTAGAAGCGCGCTACTTGAGAGTAGTATGGAGAAAAAAGAGGGACATGCCAATTTCCAGTGAACATGAAACACATCTGCAGCAAGGAACTGTCCAAGGCATAAGCGCGTGATTTGCACAAGGAACACTACCTGAGGGTCTGAAGCTGTGGCAACCCAAGGGAGGTGTTCTGTTATAGCAAAGCTGAAACTGGGCCACTGATGATGTAGCAAGCAACAAAGAAGGACACCTCTATGGCCTGTATACTAACATCATATATAGATGAATGCTGAGAGGATGCAAATAGGAAGCTTTTCAAAGTAATGTTGAATCCAAATTAGTATATAATGGGACGGAATAACAAAAAGCTTTCGCCAAATTATTCACACAACCTGATTAGTTTGATGGGTCGGAATAACAAAAAGTCTTTTCTCCCAGTTTTCTTTAGAGGTTTGTTTGTGTTTCTATTGTTCTGCTATTGCTCACGCTTTAACTTCCTTACTTAACTCACCTGAGGTTTGCTTGATTCATGGAATTATGACCTGAAATTCGTCTTCAATCATGCTTATTAAAACTCAACGAGTTCATTGCTCCAAACAATTTTTCAAGGGGGTAGTACACCAGCCCAGGGTAAGTGAATAATACGAATTGTTTAGGGGGTGGGATTAATATGCAAACTTGAAGCCCTAAGGGCAAATATTCTAACTTTGTTATTGTTCTGCTTTTGCTGCCCTTTGAAATCCTTACTTAACTCTTCTGAGGTTTGCTTGATTCATAGAATTCTAACCTGGAAATCGTGTTCAAAAACGCTTATTAAAACTCAACGATTTCATTGCTCCAAACAATTTTTCAAGAGGGTACAGTAGTACACCAGCCCAGGGTAAGTGAATAATACGCATTGTTTAGGGGGTGGGATTAATATGCAATCTTGGGGCCCTAAGGGAAACACTATAACTTTATTATCGTTATATATTGTTTTGCTACTGCTGCCTTTCTAACCTTGTTTATCTCTTCTACGACTACGACTACGACTACTACTACTACTACTGCTACTGCTACTACTACGACTACCACCACTACCACCACTACCACTACCAGTTCACTACGACTACCACTACGACTACTACTGCTACTACTACGACTACCACCACTACCACCACCACCACCACTACCACTACCACTACGACTACCACTACGACTACGACGACTACTACTACTACTCCTACTACTACTACTTCTTTTGGGTGGCGGGGTTACTCTCCAGACCCTCTGGATTGTTGGCTAGGGAGGGGGGGGCCCTTACTAATTAGGATCGAACATCATCTTGATTTTCACAGCAGGAGGACGCAGCAGCTTCATTCAATGTCCCGCCTTCCAACCAGTCATTCCCCAGCTCGAAGCTGCCAAGTGCAAACAAGTCTTGCCATCGTAGCGACGCACCGCAGCCGCCTTAGGCGACGCGAGACGCGTCAAGAGCGCTTCGTCTAGGTGGATGTCCATCTGGATGGCGATGCTCAAGGGGCTACTTCCAAACCTCAGGAAGCTGAAATCATCAAAGATATTCGGCGTGCAATTAAAACAGAATGACATCTCCCAGTTTGACCCGTAAAAATAGACCAGTCTTCCCAGCCAGGGCCAGGGAGGTCCCCCCATTGAAATAGACACCCATATAGAATGCGCTGATGATGGTTGATGGATGTTGATGGCTTTGTCTCAGGCGATCTCCCCTTCGAGAAAAGAAGAATTGTTTCAGCAAACACCAAAGCGACAAAGTGGAAGATCCAAGAGCCTGCTCCAATAGGCCTCGCTTGGCAAGCTCGTCCATGAACCAGGTGATGGACTGGGAATCGCCACTCTTCACCAGGAACATCAGTGGAGTTGTCATGCCCAAGGCTGGCTGATACTTGAAGTACGTGGTATTCTCAAAGGCTGGAACACCTTAGCAAACTGTGTTTTTGCGGGAAACCACATTCTCGGGAGAGATGGGCTAACGTGATCTAAAGGCAGTCGAGGCGTGCCGGGGCACTGCGTTCCAAAACGTCCTCCTTTTTTGGCGCCGGTGCTACTGGAACCAACTTGCTGTTGAGCGCCGGAGGCTCGGAAGGCTGATTGGGCTTGGTGGGATCCTTCCAAGGCTTCTCTAAAGGTCCAACCGGGAGCTGCAAATCGGCGTCGCAATTCTCGAAAAGCCATCGCACACACTTTTGGAAGTCCTCCCTTGCAGCCTTGAATGGGCTCAAACGGCTTTGATGTTGGTTAACATGTCTGGCTCTCCTCTTCAATCAGGGGTCTTGATAGCTACAGGGACTCTTTTGAACAATCTCAGACCGTCAAAATTGCAAAGCGCTCGACGTGTGGGAGACATGTGGGAGGAACTGCTCGGCATCTACACTGTGTTTGATCTATACTCATCTTGTGTAAGGCTGGGAAGTTGCGTCCCAGTTTCGCCGCCTCGCCCCCGAAGGGTGCATCCCAGAACAAAAGCTGTAGGGCTTTAGGAAAAAGAAGGCCGTCTTAATGGGTTTCATGTCGATGGTTGTCATACCACGGGCATGTACGGTATGACTCCAAATTCAAACAGGATGAAACTGATATGAAACGATGTGATATGTGATGTGTTTAATCGTTCAATTATTGAAGCTCACATCGGGGAATCCACAGCGGGTAGTGGAAAGTTGACAAAAGTTGCCGCCATGTCTTCCACAAGGTTGTTTTCTTGAGCGAAGCCCATCTCTTGGTTATGGTTCAGCTCCCCCTGCTCCCCGAGAAACTGTCTCAGTGTGGATCGCTTGCTGCAAATCGGGCTGTTTGGCTTCCATGGTGTGGCGGATCTGGGACACCACAGTGCTTTGCTGCTTCTGTTGGGCTGCATCACGTTGCTTCCTGAGTAATTGGTCAATGTCAGCCCAATGAAAAAAGCACCACAAACCAGCCCAATGGCATCCATTCCCAGAACTGATAGAGAGAACTCCTCAAAAACAAACCAGTTGACATGAATTTTGCTATGGGCAAAGCCGTTGAAAGGCAAAAAACACACATATATATATATATATATTGAAAATTATTGAAATATAATATCTTGAGGGGTAACTCCATCATCATCCATCAATCCCCCCCAGCCGAGGCTTTCAACCCCCTGAACGTTGACGTAGCTTCTGTAGCTGCTTCATCTCACCTTCTTTGCTTTGACGCGCATTTCGCAGTGTGGTAATTGCTTGGTTGAAATGGAGGACGGCAGAGTGCAAAGGAGCCAATCCATGAAACTCCATCGTTTGCGCCATCATTTTCAGAGACTCTTTGGCTACGCAGCTGCTAATTGTCTTGAAGATGTTCTCCGCAGTAACTTCTTCCTCCTTCTTCCAAAAACCTGTGCGTGTCTGGGAGCATGGAAATTCTTCCGGTTGACAAAGGTTACATAGACTTTTTCACTCTTTTTTGAGCCTGAGCCTTTCTAGGGTATGTATGACACGGGTTGTGTTGTTTGAGAGTGTCGACTGTGGGATACTGAGTCCAACAACCTCATTCCTGCCACACCTGTTCGAATCAGCCGCTCAGGCATAGCGTGCAGGAGCGTCTCGCCACGCCCGTGGGAAGCTACGCCGGCCCCACTTTCCAGCATCATTCGCAACAAGGTGCTGTTGCTACCTTTCCTGATGTGAAGCGCACAATCCAAGCAATGCAAGCTGACAACGCACACAAACGAGTGCGTTAAAACAACCGGGCCAACTTTCCACGGCGCAAACTGCAGGAGTCCGTCTATGAACACCATCACTAGGAGTGGCAAGAGGAATCTTGGGTGTCAATTTCAAAACAAGCAAGCAAGGGATGAAGTGACCTTTGCTCCTAGTAGTAAGGCCAGGAGCCCCTAGTAGCGTCCTTGCTCCTAGTAGCGATGCCAATTGTTACTAGGAGGGATGAAGTGACCTTTGCTCCTAGTAGCTTCTTGCTCCTAGTAGTAAGGCCCTTGCTCCAAGTAGTAAGGCCAGGCGCCCCTAGTAGCGTCCTTGCTCCTAGAAGCGATGCCCTTTGTTCCCGAGAGCGTCTGCGAAGGGTTCTTCGTAAAAAACATCTGCAGAACTACGTATCATCTACATCTTCACATCTTCACCTCTGCACATCCACATTCTCACCTATATCTCTGCTCATGTTCTCATCTGCACATCTACATCTCTGCTCATCTTCACATCTGCACACCTACATCTCCGCTCATCTTCACATCTCTGCTCATCTTCCTACATCTCCGCTCATCTTCTCATCTGCACATCTGCATCTCTGCTGATCTTCACATCCTCACATCGACATCTCTGCTCATCTTCATCTTCACACATCTACATCTCTGCTCATGTTCATATCTGCACATCGACATCTCTGCTCATCTTCACATCCTCACATCTACATCTCACGTCTTCACCTCTCGCTCTTCTTTACTTTCTCTCTTAAGGCCGGGGGCGGTGCCACCGGAGCACCACGAAACGCAACCCTCTACGGAGATCATGCATGTCGAGGGTGCGAAATGCAGGCGAGAGTGCGATTTGGTTCTGTCCGGCGCAACCCTCTGCGCAGATCGCGCGCGTCGAAGGCGCGAAATGCAGGACCCTCTGCGGGGATCGTGCGTGTCGAGGGCGCGAAATGTGCGTTTTGGCCCGGTCGCGGGCAACCCTCTGCGGAGATCGTGCGCGTCCAGGGCGCGAAATGCAGGCGAGAGTGCGTTTTGGCCCGGTCCGGTGCAACCCTCTGTGGAGATCGTGCGTGTTGAGGGCGCGAAATGCAGGCGAGAGTGCGTTTTTTGGCCCGGTCCGGCGCAACCCTCTGCGGTGTCGACTTTGTAGTACAACTTTAGTACGCGGAGTATCTGTGGAGCTGGAAGATGAGAACTGGCGACTTTCTAGTACAACTTTAGTGCGCGGAGTATCTGGGGAGCTGGAAGATGAGAACTGGCGACTTTGTAGTACAACTTTAGTACGCGGAGCAAGCTGTGGAGCTGGAAGCTGAGAACTGGCGACTTTGTAGTACAACTTTAGTACGCGGATGAGTCATCTCTCGCGGCTGAGCCATCTCTCGCGACTGCTCTGGCGCCCCTGCAGCTGAGTCATGTCTCCCGACCACCCGGCTATCTTGAGAGGTTGACAAAATTTGGCTACTTTGCTTACTCATAAGTGGCTGCCACAAAAGGGTCATCGTGACGTTAGTATGTGTGTACTTCACCTTCATGACAAACGATGTTCGCTTGGAATACACGAGTCGCTTGTCATGATCGTGACGTCGTTTACTCTCAGGTCGCCCTGTTCGTGGAAACTTCAGTGTGAAATGTGCGTTCTTCAGTTCTGTTTGAACCTCTTCAGCGTTGTACTTGCACAACTAAGGTTGACGTTGCGCTGCCGTTGCATCGACGCATCTACATCTACACCCCCCACCTCTCTACATTTACATCTTCACACGCTCACAGCCGCAGATCTACCTCTCCACCTCACCACACCCACACATCTGCACATCTATATCACATCTGTACATCCACACTGTCGCTCCTTCACATCTGTCCTGTCTTTCTTTTTACATATCTTTTCTCTCGTCTCTGTGCATTTACATCTTCGCACGCTCACATCCACAGATCTACCTCTCCACCTCCATACATCTTTAGATCTATATCGCACCTGCGCATCCACACTGTCACTCCTTCACATCCACCC